CACCACACTGCATCACCTACCACTCACCATACCACACCAGCATCACCACAACCACCCACCAGCATCACCACACCACCACTACCACCACACCAGCATCACCACACCACCACTACCATCACCAGCATCACCACTACTACCACCACACCAGCATCACCACTACCACCACACCAGCATCACCACACCACCACTACCACACCAGCATCACCACAACCACCACACCAGCATCACCAACCACCACTACCACCACACCAGCTCACCACACCACCACTTACCACACCAGCATCACCACAACCACCACACGCATCACCACACCCCACTACCACCACACCAGCATCACACACACCACTACCACCACACCAGCATCACCACACACCACTACACCACCAGCATCACCACTACACACCCACCACCACATGCATCACTAGCACCTCCCCCTAAGAGGTCTATATGGAAATGACAACTTGTTCTAAATCTGTCAAGATGATTGATGTAGCTGCAGGGATGACCTTAATTATGTCCAGGTAGATAGTGACCCCACTACCCCCACCACCCCACCACTTCCCACTACCCCCACTCCCACAACCTCCCACCACCCCACTACCCCCACTCCACAACCTCCCACCACCCCACTACCCCCCACTCCACTACCCCACTACCCCCCACTCCCACTACCCCCACCACCCCCCACTCCCACTACCCCCCACTCCCACTACCACTACCCCCCACTCCCACTACTGGATGACTGATATAGTGGATGATTGGTGGAGTGGATGACTGGTATAGTGGATGATTGATGGAGTGGATGACTGGTATAGTGGATGATTGGTGGAGTGGATGACTGGTATAGTGGATGATTGGTGGAGTGGATGACTGGTATAGTGGATGATTGGTGGAGTGGATGACTGGTATAGTGGATGATTGGTGGAGTGGATGACTGGTATAGTGGATGATTGGTGGAGTGGATGACTGATATAGTGGATGATTGGTGGGTGGATGACTGGTATAGTGGATGATTGGTGGAGTGGATGACTGGTATAGTGGATGATTGGTGGAGTGGATGACTGATATAGTGGATGATTGGTGGAGTGGATGACTGGTATAGTGGATGATTGGTGGAGTGGATGACTGGTATAGTGGATGATTGGTGGAGTGGATGACTGATATAGTGGATGATTGGTGGAGTGGATGACTGGTATAGTGGATGATTGGTGGAGTGGATGACTGGTATAGTGGATGATTGGTGGAGTGGATGACTGATATAGTGGATGATTGGTGGAGTGGATGACTGATATAGTGGATGATTGGTGGAGTGGATGACTGGTATAGTGGATGATTGGTGGAGTGGATGACTGGTATAGTGGATGATTGGTGGAGTGGATGACTGATATAGTGGATGATTGGTGGAGTGGATGACTGGTATAGTGGATGATTGGTGGAGTGGATGACTGGTATAGTGGATGATTGGTGGAGTGGATGATTGGTGGAGTGGATGATTGGTGGAGTGGATGACTGGTAGAGTAGAACTGCTGACACACTGTATGAGACTTGTGGGTCTCCCAGCTCAGTCTGACACTGCTGAAGTCTCCCAGCTCAGTCTGACACTGCTGAAGTCTCCACCGTCGACATGCGAGTCCAGCTCAGTCTGACACTGCTGAAGTCTCCCAGCTCAGTCTGACACTGCTGAAGTCTCCCAGCTCAGTCTGACACTGCTGAAGTCTCCCAGCTCAGTCCGACACTGCTGAAGTCTCCCAGCTCAGTCCGACACTGCTGAAGTCTCCCAGCTCAGTCCGACACTGCTGAAGTCTCCCATCTCAGTCCGACACTGCTGAAGTCTCCCAGCTCAGTCCGACACTGCTGAAGTCTCCCAGCTCAGTCCGACACTGCTGAAGTCTCCCAGCTCAGTCCGACACTGCTGAAGTCTCCCAGCTCAGTCTGACACTGCTGAAGTCTCCCAGCTCAGTCGACACTGCTGAGTCTCCCAGCTAGTTGCACGCTGATCTCCCAGCTCAGTCTGACACTGCTGAAGTCTCCCGGCTCAGTCTGACACTGCTGAAGTCTCCCAGCTTAGGCTTACACTACTGAAGTCTCCCAGCTCAGACTGATACATTTCAGCCGTATGTAAGTGACCGATCCTGTGTGATGGAATATGACAGCCAACATAAGAAGCACTGTAGCAGGCCTACTGGCCCAGTCCAGTCAGGTCCAACTCACACCCACTCATCACATAGGATAGCGTAGCAGTACACTGCTAGTGTATTCAACTTCGCTAAAAAGAAGAAAATTTGACTGGCGAGACGAATCTAGATGTGATGTGACCTCACTCACACCGGGGTCATAAATCACTCAGCAATTAATCCGTGACATTGAAACTAGTTCCCGGGTGACCCCTGCTGACCGCAGACGACGCTGCTTGTGTGTGTTTGAGGGTAATACCTGATCATGGCTTCCAGGTCCACGCCCAGCCTTAACTAAGAACATTCCAGACCTAAGGCCAGCACCAGCACCAACACCACCCCTGGTTGGGGTGGTGCTGGTGCAGGGGTGCAACTGGGGTCCCCAGCTGAACCCTTGCACTATCCTAGGCCAGCACCACCCCAGCTAAACCCCTGCACTATCCTAGGCCAGCACCACCCCAGCTAAACCCCTGCACTATCCTAGGCCAGCACCACCCCAGCTACACCCCTGCACTATCCTAGGCCAGCACCACCCCAGGTGCACCCCTGCACTATCCTAGGCCAGCACCACCCCAGCTACACCCCTGCACTATCCTAGGCCAGCACCACCCCAGGTGCACCCCTGCACTATCCTAGGCCAGCACCACCCCTGCACTATTCTAGGCCAGCATCACCCCAGCTGCACCCCTGCACTATCCTAGGCCAGCACCACCCCTGCGCCATCCTAGTCCAGCACCACCCCAGGTTCGGGTGGTGCTGGTGTAGGGGTGCAACTGGGGTCCCCAGTTGCACCCCTGCACTATCCTAGGCCAGCACCACCTCAGCTGCACCCCTGCACTATCGTAGACCAGCACCACCCCAGCTGCACCCCTGCACTATCCTAGACCAGCACCACCCCAGCTGCACCCCTGCACTATCCTAGACCAGCACCACCCCAGCTGCACCCCTGCACTATCCTAGACCAGCACCACCCCAGCTGCACCCCTGCACTATCCTAGGCCAGCACCACCCCAGCTGCACCCCTGCACTATCCTAGGCCAGCACCACCCCAACTGCACCCGTGCACTATCCTAGACCAGCACCACCCCAACTGCACCCCTGCACTATCCTAGACCAGCACCACCCCAGCTGCACCCCTGCACTATCCTAGACCAGCACCACCCCAGCTGCACCCCTGCACTATCCTAGGCCAGCACCACCCCAGCCGTACCCCTGCACTGCCCTAGGCCAGCACCACCCCAGATGCACCCCTGCACTATCCTAGACCAGCACCACCCCAGCTGCACCCCTGCACTATCCTAGACCAGCACCACCCCAGATGCACCCCTGCACTATCCTAGGCCAGCACCACCCCAGATGCACCCCTGCACTATCCTAGGCCAGCACCACCCCAACTGCACCCCTGCACTATCCTAGGCCAGCACCACCCCAGCTGCACTATCCTAGGCCAGCACCACCCCAACTACACCCCTGCACTATTCTAGGCCAACACCACCCCAGCTGCACCCCTGCACTATCCTAGGCCAGCACCACCCCAACTGCACCCGTGCACTAACCTACCACCACCCCAGCTGCACCCCTGCACTATCCTAGACCAGCACCATCCCAGCTGCACCCCTGCACTATCCTAGGCTAGAAACACCCCAGTTGCACCCCTGCACTATCCTAGGCCAGCACCACCCCAGCTGCACCCCTGCACTATCCTAGGCCACCACCACCCCAGATGCACCCCTGCACTATCCTAGGCCAGCACCACCCCAGTTGCATCCCTGCACTATCCTAGGCCAGCACCACCCCAACTGCACCCCTGCACTATCCTAGACCAGCACCACCCCAGCTGCACCCCTGCACTATCCTAGGCCAGCACCACCCCAGCTGCATCCTTGCACTATCCTAGGCCAGCACCAGCACCTCCCCAGCTGCACCTGAGCACTACTCCAGCACCACTCCAGATGTGCCTTTCCTGGAGGTGGGGGCGGCTGCGCTTGGATCACGAGTCCCCAGTTTGGTACAGTTTAATATCCTTATTTCTACAATTACATGCACAAGGTGTGCAGGCCTACCTGGAGTTTACCTGGAGAGAGTTTCGGGGGTCAACGCCCCCGCGGCCCGGTCTGTGACCAGGCCTCAGGCCTAGCTGACATCACTGACATACTATATACAAAGCCCCTTGTTATGCAGAGCATTTCGGGCAAATTTGGTCAATTTTGTCCCAGGATGCGACCCATACCATTTGACTAACACCGAGGTACCTATCGTTTTACGTGCAATTTTGACCATCCAAAAAAAATGCCGCAATGTCATCTTCTTGTAAAGTATTTCATGCTGAAATGTGTTATTCGTCAGTCCATGAAAGATAATGTTACAACACTTACTGTTAGGCACGCCATTTAAAGAGGACCAAAAGGTACAAATCACACAGACCTTTCAAAACAAACCATGGTAGTTACAACCATTCCTGAGATTTTTTAGTTCCAGGAAGAAAAAAAAACTGGCAGGAAATGACAAATACTAGACCACCACAGAGTAGAGGCACAGTCAGTGGCCCCCCACTCCAGAACAACAGATATTAGTGCCAGCAAATAAAGCTCCTTCTACATAACATTAATACGACAACATTTATATATGCAAATATACAGGGTCTAAGCCATCAACAAAAATGCCTTTGTCAGTGGACTGCTCAGAGTCAAATGCAATGTTTGCAGCTTTCACAGAGCCACACAAAGGCTCACTCTGACAATGAAATGTGGATCTCAGGGTACAACTTGTTCAGATGAAACAGCAAGAACAGGCAATGAGATATTTTTAATCATTAAAAAACGTAAAGTATTCAAACATTTTAATTAAATAACATTGTAATTAATAATAATGAGATACAATTTTTGATAACTAAAAATTATTTTATATATGCAAAAGAATACATATATTGGGGCAATTTCTTTTTTGAAGTACTATATAAAAAAAAAAGTAAAATTACACTTGACCCCCAATTATTTTGGATAACTCTTTCTATAGAACTTTGCCATATTAATATATATTTTATACCACACTACAAATAATTAAATAGCTCTGAGGGATGAGTTCCTACAATATACATAATACATCACTGGTGATATATACAACATACAGCCTTTCACAGAACACTGCATTACTTGCAACATTAGCAATTCTCAGCAATAATGTGCACATTTCTACATTAATATATATCAATCTATCAATTACTTGATACTGCCTCTAACTATGGAACTGCCCAGTGATGACATTGTGAACACGTCTGGTACTACACTCATTACTAATATGTACTAACAGTAAAGCAGTTTCAGTCACATACAAATACAGTATTCAAGTATTGTGAATATAGTGCACCTGCACAGTATTATGATGATTACATTCCACACTGAGCACACTTGATCAAGCTGAAAATCACTGAAGATTTAGTCTCAACATACAAGTGTTATGATCTCCCACATGGCAATAATAATATAATCAAATTAAGTACTAAACTCAAGAGGGTCCTATGGCATTTCTGGGAGGGATTTATGAAAGAAGCAATGTGCAAAGGTGATGAGAGAGTGAAGGGCAGGGGTTTATGGAAGTAGCAGATAGCACAAGAAAAGTAAAATCACAGTTGATGCAATCCATTAATTTGTTAAAAAGTCAAGGTGGAACTTTCAGCAAAGAGGTCTGCAATTTAGTGTGCTGGGTGGCAGAGATGATGGAAATGAATTCTGTGTGCCCTCTGATAGGCTGGACAATAAAATGTTGAACTGACAGTGCAACTTGACAGTTCTTGCAAAGAGGTGCCAGGCATTTTTCCACAAGGTATTCATGAGCGAGGCACATGTGGCCAAGACACAGATGGGAGAGTGCAGTCTCCCAAGCATGACAGAGGTGGGATGAAAACTGCTAGAAACCCGAAAGTGATTAGACAGAAAATAATTTGTTGAGGACCAACTCGGACCAACATCGTTGCCATCAGTTGCAAAGCTGTCGAGAGATTGTGAAAAATGATCCAAGGAATACTCCTCTGGGAAACTGGGAGATCATGAACAGCTGACTGAGCAGTTAAGCCTGCTTGTTACCCTGAACACAGATGTATCCAGACAGCCAGCAAAAACTGACATCTTTGCATTTACTAGAAATGCAGCAAAATCAAAGTTGAAAATGAATTTTTGGATAGCCTGTAATGTATTGCAAGTCCAATACAACTATGAATGGTGAGGTGACCGACACAGTGTGCATGATACCCATGAGAATTGCATGCAAAACTGCTGTGAAAACACCGACTATAATTTTATCAAGAAAAACGGTGTATTTCCAATACCATCAGGGGTCTTAGAACCATCAGAGTACACTGCATGAGAATGAAAGTGAAAGGAGGAGAGTGAGAAATTACAGCAGGAAAGTTGACTTTCGCACATGGAAGCAGAAGTTGGGTGGACGTGAGGTTGTAACAACCTCGGGAGTAATGTAGAGCCAGCCAGTGCATGAAGTTATTTTTTATTTCACCTCATTCAGGCAAATTTATCTGCATTAAGAAAATTTTGGGACTGCTATTAATAGCTTTGTGACAAATAGTTGTAAAGTTCAGTGCACAACCATGCCAAATGAACATTTGCTGTTTTTTGTTGCTTTTAGTACACACCAATCAGGTAATTATGCTATTAATAACAATACCCTCCAAAAAAATAAAAAATAATAAATAACAATAAGAGCATATCTCATCTTAAGTTATATAAGGAAAATCACCAGTAACACAATTTTGTGTTAATATTAACTTGTAGTACTGAATGAACCACAAGAGACTTAAAATTTACAAAAAAAAAAAAAAAAATTACTGCTATCACCAACTTACTTCCTTAATCAAGCCGTGTAAATAGCATACATGGATTCAAAAGCAATGAACTTTGGTTATTAAATACTGTCAATTAAGCATAAGAATTCCAGCTTCTGCCATTAACTTCTATATAAAGTGGACATATGTACTATAGAACTTTACATACGGCTAGTCATAACTTTTACTTAAGCAAAATGTCTACATTAGAGGTTTATCCTTATGCGATAGTTCTATTAAATGATATATAGTGGCTTGCTTCTGCCGGAATCTTATGAACAAATTACAAAATAACATTTTGACTAAACTTAGCCCAAGAAATTAATTATAATTTAAAAGATAATCTAAATATGATTTTTGGGGGGGGAGGAGTGGTGGGGTTTCCTCAGTGGTCATCTCCCCCAAGGCAGTGGTTACTCAGGTTACTCAAATAAAATACATTTTATTTACATGTAACAAATTAATGTATTCTATTAAAAACAAAAAATACAGCCATCAAACTTATTCAAGAAGTGATAATGTTTAAAAAAAATCATTGCACATTTAGAACACAAAATTTGCAGTACAGCAGAATGATAGTTATATCTTAGGGAGTGACCATTCACAATTTTTTATGAGATATTAATGCCCAATGATGTACAGTACTGCTGTGTTTTTTCTTCTGGTCAATTCCTGAGAGGCATATCACAAAATGGTCTATGTATAGTAACTCTGCCATAAGAAAAATGTAAAAGCTACATTAAGTAATTTAGAAAGAAAGAATTTAAACTCAAATGAAATACTAAAAATCTTTGTGAGAGAAAATGCCTGGGTAGACGAGTGTGGAAGTTAGTTAGGTCGTGGAATGAGGCCATTCTTTTTTCGGCTGCATCAGTTCCTGCACCACAGTTTCCACAAGCTCCCCTAACTCTGCTTCTAGAGCTGCCCAGTCTCTGTTGAAGGATGAAACATGGTAGTTGTAGCAATACTGTAGAAAATATTGTAAAAGTCAAATACTGTATATTCAAATGTATTTTTATATTTTTAATGGTATATCTTCAGTACAATAAAACAAAGTAAGAAAATATCTCCCACCAGGGTAGAGTGACTCCAAAAATGGACAATCACCGTTAATCATTTTTTGCCAGAAATGTGTTGAACTCACAAATTCAGATTACCCTCCAACTGAAATACCTCCATCCCTCCATCAGTGTGCCAGCACTGCCCTTCCTACCTTCAGGACCTGAGTCTGGCTTTCCAGCCTCCTCCCCCCAGGGACCAGTCCCTTCATAAATGTTACATTGCTTACACTCCAACATCACATTAAAATCCACCCATCTCCATTCATGCCTAATATACTTGCACAAGCCTGCTAAATATTCAAACCCCTTTATCTCCTCTTTCCAACTGTTCCTGGGACAACCCCTACCCCTTCCTACCTTCCACCCCAGATTTATACACCCTTTTATCATTCTATCCCTCTCCTTTATTCCTACACGACCAACCTCAACGACCCCTCCTCAGCCCACTAAATTATGCCTCTACCCTCTATCTTGCAGCAATGTATTGGTACCACTATACCGTAGTAAAATCTTTTTTTGCCTCCATAAATAACTTTTCTTTCCACAGATGACTCAACATACCACCTACTTTGTTACCCCTTTCATCTATTTTGTGATTTACTTCATCTTTCACAGACTCACCTGCTGTCATGTCCATTCCAAAATATCAAAATACATCCACTCCTTCCCTTTAATCTGATATTCAATCAATCATTGCCTGAACTGTTACCCCTGTTCACAATACATCTCTAGATGTATTGTGAAATCTCCATAAGGAGGTGGAACAGAATTCTTCCTCCATAAGCCATGCATGTCGAAAGAGGTGACTAAAATGCTGGGAGCAAGGGGCTAGTAACCCCCTTCTGTATACATTACTAAGTTGGAAAGAGAAAATTTTCATTTTTCTTTTTTTGGCCACCCTGCTTTGGTAAGATACAGCTGGTTCCTTGAAAGAAATATTGTGAAATGTGAAAAAAAAAATAATACACTGCAGATGATTCAATACAAATGTAAATACCACTTACTCTTGCTCTGGTTTGGCACACATCTCAGAATAATATTTAATCTTGGGCTCTGTTCCACTTGTTCGTAGGGTAAGTACACATCCATTAGAGAAGGAAAAAGTTATCATCTGACTAGACTTAGAAACTGGCAAAACTGCATGTTTGTCGGGCTGTGAAGAATCATATCCAGTGGTCAAGTCCCGCACATCAGTTACAGTGAATCTGCCATTTCCAACCGTCTTTGGGTACTGAAAAAAAAAAAAAAAAAATGTTAACCCTCTTAGGAAAGCAATTCATTAACCCTTTCAGGGTCCGTCCCATAGATCTACGGCTTTACTTTCAGGGTCCAAACCGTAGATCTACGTCATGAGCTCAGCTCACTCTGATAAACTGTGAGTGGTACATTAGGGCCTAAATATGAGAGAATACATCTATGTGGTATGTGTGCACCACATAAAACAGATCCTGCAGCACACTGTGTATAATGAGAGAAAAAAACTGAAATCATGATTTTTCGATTAAAACAGCGACTTTGCAGTGTTTTTTTGTATGTTTTTTATAGTTGTATTTGCGATTTCTTGGTCTCATTTGATAGAATGGAAGACATATTACAGAAATAGAGATGACTTTGATTGGTTTTAGCACTGGAAATGGCTCGAAACTGAGCTCAAAGTAGCAGAAATGTTAAATTTTTGCAGATATTCAAGAGTAAACAAACGACCTCACACGTCTAATACACGCCAGCTGGTGGGTCTAATATACATTCACAAATATGGTGATGATATTTATACAATTATTACAGTATTGCATAACAGTAAATCTTCTATTTTTTTGGTGTGAATAAAAATTCATTATGTGAATAAAAAATCAAAATGGAATTTATTTGTAAAGCCTCAAAACATAACTAATAAACAGAGGAAATGTTAGTTTAGTTCCAGGAATACCTACATTGTTTATTCTGGACCCTATTTTGAAATTGGAATATTTTGAACTTTGTGTTAAATTGGCCAAATTAACAATTTCCGATCACTTTATTTTGTAGTTGAAACAGTCGAGTTGGCGATTTCTTGTGCTCAATCGATAGAATAGAAGCAATACTAGTGAAATAGCTAAGAATTTGGTTGACTGGAATAATGTAATTGGATTAAAATGGGAGTCAAAGTAGGCAAAATCGCCGATTCGTAAATATCGCTGACACATCAAAATTCGCGAGAGCATAATTTCGTCAATTTTCCATCAAATTTCGTACTTTTTGTTTTATTACCTTCACAAAAAGATTCTCTACCATTTCATAAGAAAAAATAACAAATTTTTTTTTTTGAAAATTCTTGGACACTGGGGCACCATTTCAGATTTGGGCCTTGGACCCTGAAGGGGTTAAAACTATCACATATATATTAATTACATTTAAAAACAGCAGTTTCCCATTCCCTTGCCACTTCATTTTGGTTTATCTGGAGCTTATTTGCATATCTTGGAAATTACCAGTACACGTGATTTACCATTCTCTTTCTCTACTACAATACAGTAAATACTTACACTATTTGGTTCATCAAAATTCCTAATTCTGTCAAACATCTTGTTGATAATGCTCTGGTCATGACAAATGTAATACGAGTTGTTGCTTGTATGATACCCATACCTGAAAAGAATGCATTACTGTTACACAAAGTACTAAACCTGTGGGGGTCAGCTGCTGAAGATAGATTCAAAGCTAGCAGAGGCTGGTTTCACCTCCTCTTGACTATCTACAATAAATACTACTTGCTTCTCACTATGTTAAGGCCAAAAATATTTTAAGGAAAGGAATGAGTGTACTGCATATACATTTTAATTTTTTACTTTTATTTTAGGCCTAGTTTTATTGCTAACCTAATATATGGTAGTGTAAACATGGTATCAGGTATATAAACACCTGATAAAAGGGCAAGTCATTTTATGGCAGTAGCCTGGAACCTAACCCACCATATAAAGAGGGCCATACTGTACTTTGCTGGATTTTAACTTTAATATGAAAGAGGTCATCTGATGATAGCACTACCAAGGTAATCAGATAAATGCTATTATAGTATATTCTTAAATGTATCAGGTAGATATTGCAATTTAAGTTCATTTTTATTTATTTATTCATTTATTTTTATTTATTATATCTGTCTAAATCATTAAGAGCAAAGGAAGCAAATCACAAAAAACTTACTTCTTGTAAATCTCTCTCAATTTACTACTTAAAGTCAGATTCTGCTTAGAGAGAAAGGTTGCCATCTCTGCCAGACGCATGGCAGCAGACACTCCGTCTTTGTCCAAGACCTATGGGATTCACTCATGTTAGTATTAATGCTAGAATATACCAAGTATATTGTAATTCTTTCTTGACAGCTTTAATTTTTTTATTCATAGAGTACATTTTAACTCCTAAAGTTTCCCACCAAGGCAAGGCAATATAAAATATTAACATTCATTCCAGAAAATTATGGACATCACATTTCAAATGATCTAAATCATTCCCACCCATCCTTCAGAGTACAGGCTCTGTACTTTCCACCTCTAAAACTTATGTCCAGTTTAATTTACTCAAAAATCTTCATACTTCAACAGCGTATCAGAACTCCGACACCCAGTGTCTCCACTCACGCTGATATAACACATGCCTACTAAATGTTCAATTATTTTTATCACAATGGCTATTTACCATAGCATTACTCAAAGAAGGAAACCAGTCACCATTACTCATGCAATAGCTGTCCTGTTAGAAGTGCATGGACATCATAATCTGAATTACCTTCGTACTCTACCTTTAACTAACTATGGTCATTTAGAGAGAATGGATCAAAGTAGAATGACATAAAGAGCGTATAAATCTGTAGGGGAAGGAAGGCGGGATAGGGGTTGTCCTCGAAAAGGTTGGAGGGAGGGGGTAAAGGTGGTTTTGTGGGCGAGGGGCCTGGACTTCCAGCAAGCGTGCGTGAGCGTGTTAGATAGGAGTGAATGGAGACGAATGGTATTTGGGACCTGACAATCTGCTGTAGTGTGAGCAAGGTAATATTTAGTGAAGGGATTCAGGGAAACTGGTTATTTTCATATAACCGGACTTGAGTCCTGGAAATGGGAAGTACAATGCCTGCACTCTAAAGAAAAGGTTCGGGATATTGGCAGTTTGGAAGGTTATGTTGTGTATCTTTATAGGTACATGCTTCTAAGCTGTTGTGTTCTGAGCACCTCTGCAAAAACAGTGATTATGTGGGAGTGAAGTGAAAGTGTTGAATGATGATGAAAGTATTTTCTTTTTGGGGATTTTCTTTCTTTTTTTTGGGTCACTCTGCCTCGGTGGGAAACGGCTGACTTGTTAAAAAAAAAAAAAAAAAATATACATAAATCATTTGAGAACTCGCGCATATCTACATTTATACCAAAGTATAATTTTTTTAAATCATTATTAACAGCAATATTTCAGATATCAATAAGTGATACAGGGCTGTGATGAAGTAAAGGCTGAGAATACATCAATTTTTATGTCACTATTGTACCCTATGTTCTTTCAGTTATAAAATCTCTTCCCCCCCTTCTACCCCCAAATAATAATGTAACAAAATTGCTGGCTATTGTTGTGATGTGCCATGTCATGTGTGTGTGTATAGTACACTATAGGGTTTGAGTTACAACAATAAGTATTCATGGCAAGAAACCTTAGACGAGTTATTTACAACTAGATTATTTAATTGAAGTCTAGTAGCCAAAACTGCACCAAGTATTTAAATAACACTTAATACTGAAAGTAAATGAAGGAATAAATCTGACACCTATGCTTATTAACAGTTCACTAATTGTAAAATTATTACAGCAAAAAGGTCTTATGAAGAAGTGCATACCTCAGACCCATTCATAAATCCAATAGCTTCTTCAAATGCAAACAACACAGTCTTGCCTTCTTGCAGGAGGTCATATGACACATTACCCATCCACTTAAAACCTGTTAGCGTTTCCTGTGAAATATAAAAGGCTATTAACTTTTTAAAAGGATAAGAAAATAAACTAGTAAAATACGAAAAAATACATACAACTTTCAACACATTTACAGCAGTTGTCATCAAACATACAGCTACAGAGTACTAGGAATTAATCTGCACAGTGTTTTTATAATCCTAAATACACAACAATACTGTAACAACATGGAGTACAAACCATACCCCGGCCAGGATTGAACCTGCGGTCATAGAGTCTCAAAACTCCAGCCCGTCGCGTTAGCCACTAGACCAGCTAGCCACAATAAGATTCGTCCAACTAGGTATATTTCTACACCATAGGAAGGTTAGCACAGGCACCACTGTGACCACAAATGCAAGTTTTTACAGACGAATCTCCAGCTAGCGTGGCCGTGATGAACTCTAGCTCAAGTCCCTTCACTGCCGTCAACATGAGACTCTATGACCGCGGGTTCAATCCCGGCCGGGGTATGGCTTGTTTGCAATTGTGTCATTACGATTTCGTGAGTCATGGAGTACAAACATATGTTGAAAATAAATTCTTGCTATAAGGCTTTCTATTTTAATCTCAATATCAGGCCTTACAGGTAAAATAGAGAAAGGATAATATAGTACTTATGTCATAAAGAACATTAAATAATTGAAAAAATGCCAGAAAGCCAAAAAATTTAGAATTATGTGACAGCATACAGCCTTTAATGCAAGGCTCTTAGTGGACTAAGCTACTGCCTACTTCTAGCAGTTCAACTTTTCGTTGCTGCAAGTTAAGTACATTGTCTGGGCAAGCTTAATTTTTTCTGGCAGAAGTGGCCCTAGAAAAATGAAGATACCATTTTATGTGAGAGGAATGTATAGTTTCACTGGCAAAATATAGATCACAACTAAAAATTATGCTGAATAAAGGTACAGGTCGGCCATCACTAATCCGGCATCACTGGGACCGGTAGTGAGCTGGATTAATGAGTTTGCCGGATTACAGAGTGGTTAAATTAGAATACACTTAATTAACTTGTCAACAGACACTTTCTGCTACATTCATCTTTATTTTCATCACTGCGTTTTCCTCCACTGGCTTGCTACTGTTAATTTACAACCATCTGCACAATTTTTGAGTCAGTATAATGATGAAATCTGAAATTATGCTAGTTGAAATTAGTGCCAGGTTACTGATGGAACCAGATAATTGATTGCCGGATTAGTGATGGTCGACCTGTATAAGGACAAAAAGTAGTTAATGAACGCTTAATGCAGAGAAGCCTTTATTAATACCAAGGAACAATTACAGTACAGTATAGTCAATCTAAAATTTAGAATAAGTGAATGACTAACAAAACACTCAGTAATTAGTTTTTATAAAACCTTCAGTAAAATTTAATACAATATTGTCTTATAACTGCTCACTAGAATAATTTTTTAAGGGACAGTTTTTGAAAGAGGCAACATGTGGCTCTGTCACTACTACATTAATTTATTGCTTTTCTATCAGATCCACTGAGCCTGCCAAATTCTCAAGTAGATTTTGACCTGGCTTATGAACTCACTGAAGCAGAGGTCTGCTATAGCATGCTTGGTATAGCAGCCTTTATTGTTCATTACCTAGGATCCTGACATATTCCAGGTACCAACAGAGCTCCTCATTCTTGTGCTGGGCATAAAAAGATTATGGAAAGACATGGAATGAAAAAATCTAGGAATGAAAAAATCTAACAAAGATTGAGAACCATGTGCTACAATAGTATGTTCATGATCAATGAACAGAGCAGCAGTGGGTGATAATTTTCATCCTACAATCATTTCTTTCTTTTGCAGAAGATGCCTTCCAAGTTCACAACAATAATAAAGGAGTCCAAGATAATTACTCACAATAAAATGAAATCCTTCCATATTTGCAATGGCACGTAAGATTTTTGAAGACACTGTGGAGGCCACCATGTAACAATCACTAGGTTTAATATGAGGAGTGAGTTGACGACTCCTGTACCAAGCCCACCAACCAAGTAGTGCTCCTTCCTCATTTCCGGTAAATACTTTCCACTGACCACTGAAAAATAGTATACACGATGTTCAATACAAATTACTGCTGAATTATATATATTTTTTTGTACCACAATTAGAGGGGCTTGCTATTCAATATGAAATGTTTTTTACATTTCCATATAATATGGGCAGTATTAAGCCTTTCCTATATTAAGAGTCTGTTGATGACATCTATATATGGATGTTTTCACCTGCTACACTAACTAGGTTGTAGTACATGACAATGCCTAAGGATACAAAGGTAGTGACATCAGCAAGAAAGTAATGGCCTGAGGTATTGCAAAACATCAGAACTATGTACATACAGAACAGGCATGAACCAAGTTACCCTCTCATTACCCAATGTGCTATCTAAACTTATAAGACAAATAGCACTATTTCCCTAACCTGGGTAATTTCTCTGCTACAGCAAGTCTATCTGCATCTGGGTCATTAGCCAGGATCACTGTTGAGTTGTTTTCATTAGCAGTCTTGAAGGACAAGTCAAGTGCACTCTTTCCTTCCTCAGGATTTGGAAACTTAACAGTTGGAAATTCTGGATCAGGAACCATTTGTTCCTTAACAGGAATTAGTGGCTGGAATAAAAGCATCAAATGAATTGCTACAAATAGCTACACTATAGTATAACTATTAAGAATGAAGCTTCTGGAAACCATCAGATGTTCATCATTTTCCAACAGTTCTTGGATTAACAATTATCAAACAAATCATTACTGCTGTTTTACCGGAGGATGGGTATGGGGTGCATAATAAACATATTAAACTAAACTGCTGTTTTACCTTAAAGTTGCAATATTTGAATGCCTCAACCATGTAGTCATGAGACACTCCATGCATGGCAGTGACTGTGAAATTGAGTGGTGATGCCTTGTTCATATCCTTATCAAGCATGGAGTCTGCCAGCATGCTGAAGTATTTATTAGAAATATCCACCAAGGGATCACTCAACCTAGGATCTGCCAGTGCTGTCTCAAGATCCCAAGCATTTTCCCATGGTTCAAGATTATCTTCAATGCTTTGTTGTATGCCTTTATCATTTGGTGGTATAATCTGTAATTTTTTGATATTTAAACAAACTTTACAAGAAGCATCCACTAAGATTACAGTAGCTGGCATCTACCTACACTAAGAATTTTCACTTAGTTAAGTTTTTAATAGTATACTGAATTGCAATTTACAATCTATATGATGAAAAATGCACTTTAGAATATCCAAATTGTAGTAATATATAACCTAAGATGACATTCTAATACAGTGAAAGTATACTACAATGTTCAATCAAACTAATTTCAGTTTCATTATTTACAGTTCAGTATATTATAATCATTTGTGGTGATCAGTGTTAAAACTCAAAATAAGGGGTATATGCATGCATACATATAGTGATAATTAATTTTCTATTGCTAATCAAGATGCAAGACTCTTAACATTACCTGTGCTCCATTTTCCCAATAAACTTTGTAGCCATTATCTTCTTTGGGGTTATGAGAGGCTGTGACCATGACGCCAGCAGCTGCTCCTAACTGTCGCACACCAAATGGTACAAAGGGTGTTGGCACAATTTTTCCATAGAGATACACAGGTATTCCAGCATTCAGAAAAGCTGCAGCAGCTAATCTGGCAAACCTATACAGAATACATTACTGAATTAGTACATATTAAAAAAATAAAAATGCATTTTGGAATCCATTTCCAAGCTTCTCATAAATACAGCAACATGCTGATATCTCGCTTTCCTTTTTACACAGCAGCAGCAGCAGCAATTCATACCACTGTATTCCCTGAATCTACTGCAGACTGAGTATAACTATGGAATATACAGTACAAGTAGAAACAGATCTTTTATATACAGTTCGATAGTTTAATTAGCAGTACAATATGTCCTGACATCTCCCACTCCATCCCTTCTCAGGCAGTCCTGGTTAAACACGGTTATCCGGCTTCTTGTATACCCATAAGGAAAATAATTTATCCAGGTCTCTACTGGATCAGAACTATATATTCTTCCTTGTAAATGTATCCTCACATAAGTCACATATCATCACACATGTCAGTTACATATTCCACCCCACCTAGTATGCATGCTTCATTTATCACTTATTGAAAGGCCTCTTGCAAATATTGTTAACAAGTTTTTCATGGTATCCCACCACCCTTTTTTTTTTTTATTTGCTTGGCACATGACCCCTAAATTGAAACTAACTACTGTAGTGTTTTTCATTCAAAATATGCTCAACATTTTCCATGCCCAAATCTCTCTTCTTTAAGGTCTTCCTTTCCTATGAATATAAATATTAACTAGAAGAGCAATATTTAGAGATATGGACTTTGAAACAAAATGATCATTAATATGAAAAACTATTATACGGACAAAGGATAGTTGTACTATATATTCTAATTCTGAATTCACCAGGTCCTTCAGGAACCTAATTCTCATGCATACGAGGGCTTGACTTTATAACTTTCTTTCATATGCATCAATTACCAATTTCCCCGACACATTTTTCAAACCAATAACGAAAATCAGACAACTTACCTATGACTATTATGTCGACTGTCATGACCAACAATAATGCCCTTCGCCTTTGCTTCTGGGTTAATGGTTGCAAGGTAACTGCCAAGCCCCTGAAATTTCACAGTTACTGAGATCCAATGAATGAAGATATCAACAGTATACTGTATTTCACATTACCACAGTACAGTAGTAGAAAGAGATAAGAAATGAATTCCTCAGATCAAGAGACTCGTGAGTAAAGTATAAAAAAAAAAAAACTTGAATGGTACTGTATGTACAGTACAACAAATGGAATTTAACACAAACTACAATCCAACCATGATTTTAATACTAAAAATACAATTTAAGATAATATTGCACTTTCTACAATTTGTAGATGGTTTAAACTAGCACATTCCTTACCTGTGATGTTTGTATGATGACAAGATCATTCATTTGTGCATAACCAGCTCCCATGCGTCCCCTAAGTCCAGCAGTGCCAAAAAGCATCCGGTTCAGTAGTAGCTTCTTCAGTGTTGCTTCATCTTCATTGGAAATCAGCTTCACAATCTCTTCACGTGTCTTGTCATTCTGGAGTGAATATTTATCAAGAGTATACCTGGAGAGAGTTCCGGGGGTCAACGCCCCCGCAGCGCGGTCTGTGACCAGGCCTCCTGGTGGATCAGAGCCTGATCAACCAGGCTGTTACTGCTGGCTGATGACAACTGGTACGTTAACTGCTTAAGAAATACTACTTAACAGAAGATCACTGAATCAGTTTGAAATGTTAATCATACTTTTAAAATAGATTATTAAGATTAACTTGCCTGAAATGCACTGCAAACTAGTGCCTTTTTTTTGAGTATTAATAATATTTTATTACATGTAAACTACATTATCTGTGTACTGCATAAAAGAAATAAAAAATTGAATTTGAATTACACACTATTTACCTGATGGTATTCTGCCAGTAAATTGTCCCCATATTCTCACAAGTAAATCAAATCATTACACATTGTCATACATTACATCACACTCCCAGAACTGTACGTATTACACAACTGGGTTTACTCGGAGCAGGAGGGTGTTAGATAAGATTGCACTGTGGTGCACAAGTGGCAAGAAACTTAACCAAACCTAAGAATTAACCTTAAATAAATAAGTATATTTTAGTATAGATACACATACCTGGAGTTTTTTGGGGGGGGGAGGGGGGTCAACACCCCCACGGCTTGGTCCGTGACTAGGCTTCTTGGAGGATCAGGGCCTGATCAACCAGGCTGTTACTGCTGGCTGCACATAAACCGACATATGAACCATAGCCTGGCTGGTCAGGTACTGACTTTAGGTGTCTGTCCAGCTCCTTCTTGAAGACAGCCAGGGATCTATTGGTAATCCCCCTTATGTATGTTGGGAGGTAGTTGAAGTTTTGGGCCCATGACACTTACTGTGTTGTCTCTTAGCACACTCATGGCACCCCCTGCTTTTTACTGGGGGGGATGTTTCATCTCCTGCCCAGTCTTCTGCTTTCGTAGACAGTGATTCTTGTGCAGATTTGGGACTAATCCTCTAGGATTTTCCAAATGTACATTATCATCTTTCTTTCCTGCATTCCAGGGAGTACAAATCAAGGGACTTCAACCATTCCCAGTAATTTAGGTGCTTTATCATATTTATATATGCTGTGAAGGTTCTCTGTATATTCTCAAGGTCTGCAATTTTGTATGCCTTGAAAGGGACATTAGTGTACAGCAATATTCCAGCCTACCTGGAGTTTACCTGGAGAGAGTTCCGGGAATCAACGCCCCCGTGGCCCGGTCTGTTCTGGGGATCAACACCCCCGTGGCCCGGTCTGTGACCAGGCCTCATGGTGGATCAGGGTCTGATCAACCAGGCTGTTACTGCTAGCTGCACGCAATCCAACGTATGAACCACAGCCCGGCTGGTCAGGTACCGACTTTAGGTGCTTGTCCAGTGCCTGCTTGAAGACAGCCAGGGGTCTATTGGTAATCCCCCTTATGTATGCTGGGAGGCAGCTGAACAGTCTTGGGCCCCTAACACTTATTGTGTTGTCTCTTAACATGCTAGTGACACCCCTGCTTTTCATTGGGGGATGTTGCATCGTCTGCCGAGTCTTTTGCTCTTGTAGAGAAAACAAGCGATTTGAAGAGAATCATCATGGGCTTGGCATCTCTAGTTTTGAATGTTCTCATTATCCATCCTCTCATTTTCTTAGTGGATGTGGCAGATACATTGTTGTGATCTTTGGAAGTGAGATTCTCTGATATTATCACTCCCAGGTCCTTCACATTAGTTTTTCACTCTACTGTGTGGTTGGAATTTGATTTATACTCTGATACAGTTTTTATTTCAAGTTTTCCATAACGGAGTAATTGAAATTCATTGTCACTGAACTTCATATTGTTTTCTACAGCCCATCTGAAGATTTGGGTGATGTCTACTTGGACATTTGCAGTGTCCTAGATGGATGACACTGTCATGCAAATTTGGGTGTCATCCACAAAGGAGGACAAGGTGCTGTGGCTTTCATCTCTGTCTATGTCAGATATGAGGATGAGGAACAGGATGGGAGAGAGCACTGTGACTTGTGGAACAGAGATTTTCACTGTAGCTGCCTCTGACTTTACTTTACTCTGTTTACTATTACTCTGTGTTCTAATTGTTAGAAAGTTATAGATCCATCTACTCACTTTTCCTGTTACTCCTTTATCACCCATTTTGTGTGCTACTACGCCATGATCGTATATATTGAAGGTTTTCGCAAAGTCTGTGTATACTACATCTGCATTTTGTTTCTCCTCCAGAGCATCCAGTACCTTGTCATAGTGGTCCAGTAGTTGTGAGACATTATTATTATTATTATTATTATAATCATGGGGGAAGCACTAAACCCGGAGGATTATACAGCACCTGGGGGGAATGTGGAAAGCATTCAGGCTTAATTCGGGGAACTGGAGCACAGATCCATTTCCCTAAATCAAGAGCCCCTCACCAACATCAAGGAACCTTCCTTGAGGGGAGTTGTGAGACAGGAGCAACCTGCTCTAAACCCGTGCTGCCCTGAGTTGTGTAACTGATGGGTATCCAAGTGATTGGCAATCTTGCTTCTTAAAACCCTTTCAAAGGTTTTTTATGATGTGGGACGTTAGTGCTTCCTGTCTAATTCTTTGCAATTGCTTTACCGCCACCTTTGTGGAGTGAGGTTATGTGTTGTTTTTAGCGAGTCTGGTAAGACCTGTGTCTATGCTCCCTCTCATAAGTACAATCATACGTGTTACTATGTATGATTTGTTAACTGTATCTATGTGTACTTATACTTAAATGAACTTACAGCATTTATAAATTAGTTAGGACCCCAATGGAAACAAGCCACTGACTTCTTCTGGGGTTATTCTAGGTAATTTACACATATACTATTATGCTGGATAATTGTATTTGCTTCTACTTGTATCTAAATAAACTTACTTACACCCCAAAAAACTCAAAGTGACTTATTTCCATTGAAGTTCTTACTAGATGGTGTACATAATGTAACATCATAAAATATAAGACATCTGCTGTCTGCCGCGGAATATCCTTCATTTATAACCTGTCCTTTTATGCACTGTAATAACACAATGATAATGGATCAAGTAGTGTTGAAAATTATGTAAAGACGCAGTTGAAACAGCCGCCCACATTGTTATATCCGGTGGATCTTGATCCCAGGAAATTATCATGATTTTTTATGTATACAAAAATCAATATTCTGCTGGCTACTACTATTGTAGTAAAATGAAAGATTTGTTTTGGTTAACTAAATATAATACACAGAATTACAGAATACTACAATGATTGCAGAAATTGCATAATTCTTATTGGCAAATTGATGACCAGTTAGTCTTTACTGACCTTGTCCCATTCCAGCCACTCTTTGATTTTTTCGTCGAGGGCGGGATTACCCGTGTTGACCTGTGTGGGAGCCATATTAATGGAGTAAGAAAGGTGATAGTAGAGGAGCAGAACAACAATAACCCTACTTGTTCAGTGGCAGCACCACACTGCAGACGACGCCGTCTTCCCTCATAATTACTACTGTCAATGTCGTTCCAACAATAATTTACTCTGCAACTTTCCGACTAATCTATCCTTATTCTAGCCTTTTATATTAATGCATTGATAGAAATATATATTAGTATAAAGTAAAAGTAGTTGGGCATCATTTCTTTTGCATGTAGTAAAAATACAGAAGGTGTAAAACTTTTAAAAGGTATTTAAAGGTCACCTAAGGGGTCACCTTCATTGTTGCTGGACTTACGGGCTCCATCAGCTTTTGGGCTGGAATGGTATTAAATCAATTTATTTAGGCACAGGTACACCTAAGTACAATTATCATACATAGTGTAAATTGCCTAGTATAACCCAAAAAAGTCAGAAAAGTGACATATCCATTGGGGTCCTTTTGAAGAGCCAAGATGGCATATACTGTATGAGTCCGGCTCCTAGAAGTCTGTTGAAGATTTTGCCTAAATCTAGGCAGGTAATGGGAAACGAAACAAGTTTCTCCAAAAAGAGAAATGAAAATAAAATGTCCCTAATTAGGTATGTGAACCCCAGTACCCCAACCCCGCCAGAACCAGATACCTCACACCACACCCTTAATCCAGTCAAAAACGACAGGCTTTCCCCAGGCCTATTGGAACTAATGTATTGAGCTTTAGTAATTTTGACCAGTTTCCCAGCGGGATATGTGTAGTAGGGAAGAATGTCTTGGGAAGAAAACAGGGAAACATTCGTCTCTAATACTCAAGCCAAGGACAGAGCAAAACATCTGGACTCGACTAGGGTTGGTGCAGAAATCCGTCGCATCTCGCTATAACCTCTGTTTTTAATATCATTGTCGAGGTTTCCATATTTTCTTTCCTTGGGGCATTTGTCCCCCACTGCTAGCCAACTGGTCGGGGCACCATACATTGTTACAATTGCATCAGCCTCTTCTAGGGGGACTAAAGAGAGTCTGTTGTTGTTGATTCAGTTGAGGGTGTCATTAAGTACTCAGTATAACTCACTTATTAGTGATTTCAGGGGTCGAGTCTCTGCTTCTGGCTCCGCCTCTTTACTGGCCACTACAAGGTTCATTCTCTTCGGATGCGTGAGTCCTATCATGCTTATTCTTAAAGTCATACAAGGATTCCTGCCTCTTCCACTCTGATGCTTAGGTCTTTCCATTTCCCGGACACTGTGAATCATGTCTCTGTTTTCAGCTGTGTCCTCTTGTATGTGATACAGTACTCGTCTCTCAAACAGACTAGCCTGTCCATCCTATCATTTTCTCTCACTGTTTTGAATGTCGTAATCAAGTCATCTCTGGTCTATCTTCTTCTAGTGTCTTCAAAGTTAGCTCCTCTAGTCTCTCATCATAACTCATGCTTCTCATCTGTGGAACTAATCTCGTGGAAAAATCTTTGCACTCCTTCCATTTTTTTACATGACTTCAAGATGGGTGTGACATGCCATGTATATGTCCGTGAATGCTTCCTCGTTGAGGTTCCTGAAAGCTGCTCTTAAATTTGCCGGTATCCGGTTGACATGTACCTCAAGGGAAGTGCTCGAAACTATACTCACCCTTATGTACTCGGTATTGCATTGTTAAGAAATGAACCAGACTCTGTCACAATAAATCTTACTAAATGGATTGTGAAAACGTGCAATTGCATTAAGTTTTATAACCTGCATGAACTGTATCACTGTAGACAACAAGAGCATTTCACCCCTCCATGGAAGATGTGTTTATATAATATCACATACCTGCAAGTCCCTCCCAAGAAGCTCATTGCTAGTAATCCCTTCCTTAAATCACTTGTTAAAGCAAATGTTCAAGAAGAAATTTCTCGCCTAGCTGGCAGTTAGTTAGCTTAATATGTTTATTATGCACCCCATACCCATCCTGTGGGCGGTAGTCAAAAGATTACAGAGGTACATAATTGGTCCAGGGACTGGACTCCAAAGTTTTGATAGCTGAGCAAGTTACAGAAGTAATGAACTCACAATTTACAAAGGTAATGAACTCACAATTTACAAGGTAATGAACTCCAGGTAGGTCTGGTCACAATCATGACAAGTTATCACAAGTTATATACACTGATGGATCTAAACAGGAGTCTTCTGGCAGGGCTGCATCTGCTCTTGTTGTCACCTCCCTAATTAAGAACGATAATAAATTTGTTGAGTTGGGCATAAGAATTAACAACGGGGTGTCTACACAACTAACTGAATTATTTGTAATCCTAATGGCGCTAAAGCTAACTTATGACACTGAGCTTGACTCTATCATTATTACAGATTCTATGTCATCACTGAAGGCTCTTGACTCATATAATAACTCCAATAACATGTTCATTGGAGAAGCCAGGTATAGATACTGAAAAATCAGGGACAAAGGAATTAATGTACAGTTGTTATGGATCCCATCACACATTGGATAACTCCTTCATGATAAAGTTGACATGTTAGCCAAGAAGAGTACCCAGAAGGAGAATGTAGAATGTAACTTTGGCATATCTGTGTCTAGCATTAGGAATAATATTAGGAGAGAAGTAAATAATGAAAATGGTTGTTATAAGAATGCAGTTAGAAGCCTGAGTAGATTTATAACCCACTATGATAACATGAACATAGATAAGTATGTTTATGAAGCAACTTGCAATGTGAACAGACTGACTGATGTTGTAGTGGCCAGGCTTAGGCTTGGCTACAAGTACTTCTGGCGGTTTGGGAGACACACAGATGATGATCAAACTAAATGCAAATTATGTGATCAGGCATATAGTCACTGTCTTGAACACTATATGCTTAATTGTCCACTTATTGAGGAATACAGAGATAGACTTGTGACATGTCAAGATATCTTATTAATGAAAATAAGATACCAGATATACTAAGCAAATTTCCTAAATTTGCTTGTAACAGATAAGTGAACTGTAGATATGTAGATATAAACCTATATATACACCTGTTAGCCCTTTTGAGGCCTAGTTCCTAGGCCTTTTGTGTATTCATATGCTCTTGCGCTACCGTCCAGAGGATGGATATGGGGTGCACAATAAACTAGCCACTTCGGTGGCAAAATCTAAAAAAAATCTAATCCTTAGGTCCCTCTCTTTCATACAAGTTTGCAGCCTCTATCCCCAGTGTCTGTACTCTCTTCTGGTTTTCTTTTCCCTTTCCATATTTTCAAAACTTTGCATTTCCTGGGGTTAAATTCTCGTATCCACTTGTCAGACCAATCCTGCAGCTTGTTCAAATCTTTTAGAAGTCTTTCATAGTGTGCTCCTGTTTGTCTTCTCATTAGTTTTAAATCATCTGCGAACAGGGATGCTTCTAACTCGATTTCTTCTGTCATGTCGTTTACATACATATGAGACAGTTGCGGACCGAGTACTAATCCTTGTGAAACCTCACTCGTCCTGTTTGCAGAAAATAGCTGCAGTTTCCTTCCTGTTAATTGTTTCTTTATAAACTGTAGTACTTTCCTTGTTATTCATATCTGCTCCTCTAACTTTTGTACCAGTCACTTGTCGAGTACTGTATCTAACGTCCCCTCAGTCCAAAAATACAGTCCATCCATTCCTTTCTCGCCTGCCTAACTTTTGTTTTTTTATCATAGAACTCTACCAGGTTTGTGAAACAGGATTTACCTTGTCTAAAACCGTGCTACCAGTTGCTTATAAATCCAACCTTTCTTAACATAACCTATTCCCGTGTCCTCCTCTCCCCAGACTTACATATCCTTTTAATACTCCTATTGTTCTCCAGTCATCTCCAGTATCCAAGCCTCCTCAACAACCTCTTCTCAGCCTTCTAAAACATTTTCTTTCTGATATGGCAGTATAGCAACTTTGGCTAAGATTTGGCTTTCGATGCTAAGTCAGACTCAAATTTTTGTTCGACTTCTAATGGTGCTTAGGCAAGGGGCGCTCAATGAAAATAAGTCATTTTGATTTTTAGGGGGTTATCCTAGGTTACATACACTATGTATGATAATTGTACTTATGTATACCTGTACCTAAATTAACTTATATACTTACTTACCTGACTTACATAAAAAGTTATTGTTCTCGTTTCTCTTTCAGTAGGAACGTTGGTTTCCTTTAAAATTTCCGCCAATATTTTGGAACCTTCTTTATCGGGATTCCCGGGAAGTAGGGTTCAATAAGCTGAGTTTTGATAACCTTTAACACCCCAACAACACCGGACGCCGCCTGATCTTGTTCGTGATAAGTAATTATTGAATTTTATTGTTTCCACAATAGTAATGTCTGCTAAACTGTCAACTAACAGATCACTGATTAATGACTCATATCATACATGAAAGACATATTGAAGCTCATACATAATTTATTAATAGATTTTTTTGTATGAAGGCAATATAATCTTAATCTTAATATTTGTAATCCTCACAACCATTAAAATACTGTAATAATGTGTCCACATTATGTTAATATCTTAGACTCCTCATTACTTATAATCATCCACATTTGTACATCCACCTTTGTGCAAACATTGTATCATGCTGAAATAAATAATCTAACCCAATTAAGACCAATAAATAATTCTAAAACATTAATACACACTTAAAATTGTACTGTTGTAATATTGTAAATTGTACTGATTGTAATACCTTTATTTATTTTTGCTACCTCTCTACTATAAATCTTATTAATTATAAAATTTTAGCGACTTCTCTTTTGTAATAATGTAAAATAATGATTAATTAAAATTCACCTCTCCATAACCTATGTCTACTTTTAAGTAATGTGTAAATACTACTGTATTTGTCTTCCTGAAATGCTCAGACATGTTATTGCTTTATTTTTACTTAACAGTATTTTATAACATGTAAATCACACATTGTCGACTCTGCAAAGAAATACAAAATTTAATTTAATATATGTAATTTAATTAAGGCTGTAGTTGATTCATCACTCAAGGTTGGTGGTGAAGGCTCATGATAAAAGTATTTTGTACGTTGTTATCAAATCTTTCCTCGTTCTGCCCTCCAGTAACATCAAGTCGCCCACAGGATGGATATGGGGTGCATAATATGGGTATAGGGTGCATAATATGGGTATGGGGTGCATAATATGGGTATGGGGTGCATAATATGGGTATGGGGTGCATAATATGGGTATGGGGTGCATAGTATGGGTATGGGGTGCATAATATGGGTACGGGGTGCATAATATGGGTACGGGGTGCATAATAAAGATATTAAACTTAACCTCCTCATATGATATTTTCTAGTGCTCCAGTTTCTTGACAAGGTGTTATTCGAGCAACTCAGCCCTCAAATCGAACCTAATTACTTCCATTTCCAAAGTTTCCATGGGCTTAGCGATTCCCCATAATTATAATAACATAGTATGTTCAGCATTTCTTATATAATTAAAGCTAGCATATTTTATTAATGAGTAATTATTGGGATAAATGTTATTATGCAATATATTGTTACCATAAACTTATATGATTTTGTCAGGGAAGGTTTGCAAACAATTTTGATGTCCTAACCAATAATCAGTTTAATAAGTAAAGACAAATGAAGTAAACTAGCCAGATAAGCCTAAGTTAAGCATACAAACATTATCTAACTAAACCTTGGAGTATAAAAAGAGATTAATTTTGTTTGAATAATAAGTGTGTATGAGCAAGTTTATACAAAATATTCAAGTAAGTGACAGTGCGTACTTATTGAATTTATGAACTGAAACTTTGATTGAGCTCAAGTGTTTTATTTCAGTACAGAGTGACTTGTACGATGGAACAAACAATGAGACCAGCCATTCCGGGGTCACCACCTCAGAAAAGAGGGCAGCCACAACAAGAATACATAGATCTGTTGGCTGAGCGAAGACAATCAAGTGATCTCAGATGGGCAGCTCGGGAATGGTACTCGAAGGGAAATTATAAATATGGCCTGCAGATGGAACGTGAGGAAGTGTTGAGCAAAGTAATGCAGTCAGACAGAGTTAAACACACCATCAGTTGGGCAAGTTGTCATATGATAGAATTACTGAGAAAATGTTAGATAAATGGACAGTGATGCAACTAATGTGGAGAGTGAAATGTTGCCACACTAAAATGTCACATTAGTTGCATCTGTGTTCGTTTACCTAAGAAATTGATGAAAGAGACGTTACTTAAATGTTGTATGTTTTATATTGACCATTATCCTTCCTATTTCTCTCCTCTCTTTCTTCACCTTTCTTGTTTTTCTTTTTCCTTTTCTTCCTCTCATAAACACACTAATCCTATTTTGTCTTTCTTCTTCTCCCTCTTCACTGCTCTCTCATTCTTGTTCTCTCTCTCCTCCCACACCAGAAATTAATGTGGGTTTTTCTACATAAAAAGAATAAAAAAATAATGGGAGTTTTCTACCCGAAAAATATAAACTTTTTTCCACACAAAAAACAGAATGCATTTTCCTGCACAAAAATGTTCTATTCCAGCCAAAAAAAAAAAAAAACACTATTGGTGATAAAAAAAATATTTATCTCCAGTATAGATTTTGTACAATATTGTATTTTATACAATATTTGATAACCTGGGCTGAGCCTGACCTGTGAAGGTAGAACCAATGAAACCCATCACAGGTATATAAATTAATTTGTATTTCTTTTTTTCTTTATCTCATGCATAATTTTTTACTTACAGCTTGTGAATGAGGGAATGGCACATGATATGCTTGTGGCTGAAGCAGAAGGGATCTTGGAACAGATGGCACACACTCAAAAACTTGCCATTATACGGCAGTTTGCCTTCATCCTTCCAAAGATCATGAAGAAAATCTACAGTAAAGTGCTTATCAATGAGGAAGGGATTGAAAAGGTAACTTTTAAAGATTTGCTATAAAATTTGTACTTAACTGTTTTCTTGTTAACACTAATCAACTGATGTATTGCCTCCATAATCCCATGGGATTTATTGCACAGTACAGGAAATCCCCAACCTAATAAAGGAGCAGTGTTCCTTGTATTTTGCATTTTTTTTTTCTAGAAATGGTAATGTCTGGTAAAAGCCTTACTAAAACTAAACTTTCCTATGAAGATACGCTGAGGGCACTGAATAGCACTCTGCAAAGGTGGAGAATTAGATGGAAAATTGGAATAAAGAGAATATGTAAATAAAGTACTGAAAATTAACCAAGAGAGGACTCATAGCAGTGGGTTCAAATTAGATAAATTTATATATAGAAAGGATATAGGAGAGCACTGGTTTGGCAGTAGAGTTGTGGATGAATGGAACAAGCTTCCAAGTGTATTATTGAAGTAAGAGCTTTGGGTAGTTTTCAAAATAGACTGGACAAGTACATTAGTGGCTGTAGGTGAGTGTGAGTTGGACCTGTCTAGCATGGGCCATTAGGCCTACTGCAGTGCTCTACTAATCTTATGTTCTTATTAACCAGTAGTGGTAATGTTTGGTTAGAGCCTTAGTAAAACCAGTGTTTCTTATTGTTACTAAATATGCAAACATTTGGTAGGAATGCAAGCTGCTTTGTCAAATCTTTGTAGATACATTATTTTATTTTCATCCTTATGAAGATTTGACAAAGCAGCTTGCATTCTTACCAGATGTTTGCATGGAGAGAAGAATAATATTAGAAATATGGATTGGTTAACAAGGAGAAAATAGTAATACAGTATATAAATTAGAAAAGGAGAGAGTGCAGTGTGAGTAGCAATGTGTCAAAAGAAATCTGCCAGTAAGAAAGATATTGTAGTGTTTGTGCTTGAAGTTGAATTTTTCTGTGATCAAGCCATACCATTCTGATTCAGATTTAGATATTTATGTAAAACCTGCTTTATTTCGTATGAATAATATACCTCTTATTTAGAGAAAAATTCTGCTTTCTTTAATAGGGCTAATGTGAAGGACCATAAATTTAAAAAAAATATATGATCTCCTTAAAATGAATAATGTATTGTACCAATAACTTTTCCAAAAAATTATAGGTAACTTAGATTAACAGATATAACTGAAAGCACACACCTGTCCATTACATATTGTATGGGATTTTTCTAAATGCAAAATATCTAAAATTTAATGACTCATTATAAATCTTTTCTATTTTCATTACCTTTCTGTTATTTTTTATATATGTCAGCTGCGCAGTACCCTAGTTGAAACCCCTGTAATACTGCTGCCAACACATCGGTCCTATGCAGATTTTCTCCTTGTGTCGTACATCGCATACCACTTTGACCTTCCCTTGCCTGTGATTGCTGCTGGAATGGGCAAGTAATTATGGCATTAATTGTTTAATAAACTCTAAGTTATTCATAGCTATTGAGAATATAATGTTCAACATATTACAAGTTAAAATATTTATTTTTTAACACACCAGCTGTCTTCCACTGAGGTAGGGCGACCCTAAAAAGAAGAAATGGAAATTTTTCTTCTTTGTACATTTAGTAATTTGTACAGGAGAAAGGGTTAGTAGCCCCTTGCTCCCTTAAAAGAAGTTTACTTTATTTAAACACAGAACTGTCTTCTAATTTCTTAATAGAGTAGAGTATTGATTGTTTGATTATTTGGTTGATTATTTTGTTAAAGTTTTTGCTGTTAGCGTTTATTTTCTGGAATGTTAAGTCCACATTATATAATGATTAACCTAAATTATAATACTTGATGTGCTGTTGGAGTGTGAGCAAAGTAACATTTATGAAGGGGTTCAGGGAAACCGGCAGGCCGGACTTGAGTCCTGGAGATGGGAAGTACAGTGCCTGCACTCAAAAGGAGGGGTGTTAATGTTGCAGTTTAAAAACTGTAGTGTAAAGCACCCTTCTGGCAAGACAGTGATGGAGTGAATGATGGTGAAAGTTTTTCTTTTTTGGGCCACCCTGCCTTGGTGGGAATTGGCCAGTGTGATAATAAATAAAATAAAAATTATAGTCAGTCTCACAGATATGTCAAAATAGTACAAACACAAATACCACAACTGATTAGTAAATGTGTTATAAATATACCTGCTGCTAGCTGGATAGAATGTATCGTCGTCAGTATTTTCATTCCCTACATTGGTATACATATTTAATTCAGAAAATATTTGAAAAAAATGACTATGAGCATTCCTCTGATAAGTTGTAATATAAAAATCCACATTTTTTGATCATCTTCAATCAGATAAGGACTAACCTAGCAAATACTACAAATAAATACAAGTTTGATATGTAATTAAAATGTGTGTAGAGTGGTTTTTATTGTTATATTCACAAACAATTTTTAAACTTTTAAATTGTGTGGTGAAGAGTGAAATTGCTAGCTATCACATTTATACTGAGGCTAAAGCTAGCAGTAGTAGCATGGTTAAACATGAGTCTCTTAACTCCCTCCCTCTCACCTCCCTGTCTTAGCAAATAAAAGTGGAAGTGGAACAGAATTCTTCCTCTAAGCCATCCATGTCATAAGAGGCAACTAAAATGCCGGGTGCAAGGGGCTGGTAACCTCTTCTCCTGTGTACATTACTAAATCTAAAAAGAGAAACTTTCGTTTTTCTTTTTTGGGCTACCCTGCCTTGGTGGGATATGGCTGGTTTGTTGAAAGAAGAATTCAGATATGTGTTATTTTGTTTGTTATTAATATTTTTTTATCACATCAGTAAAAAAGTTACGGTGTGACCCAAAGAAGGGAAATATTCACCATCATAAAGAGAGTACGTATTATAATGTGGCATTACTTGATTCCTTAATGTGATGCAGCTGAAGTCAACAACATCAGTGTTTTCAGACATTTGAATCACACACCAGGGAGTGTTTTTCTCATTGCCTCTAATTTTTGCTGTCTCGTGGCTTTATTAGCAGCTGTTAATATAATGTGAATTATATCTGCAACTGTCTTTAATAAGTAATTGCAAATAAAAGACTTTGCTACAGAAAATTACTGGCTGTAAAGAATAAATAGGCACAATACTGTGACTGGAACAATACACAAATACAGAGCTATGCCGAGTTTCGGCCATAATTCGTTCCAGAAGGCTGTTCGAGTGCCGTTACCAAACAAATTTGTTCCCATAAGGAATAATGTAAATTAGATTAGTCCAATTCAGACCCCCAAACTTACAAAAGCACTTACAATAATGCACTTACATAATTGTTCGAGTGGGAGCTGTATAAAACTCAGGGTACCACTGCATCCCGCACATAAGAAAAAGAAACCTATAAAGACGTTTCGGTCCAAGTCGGAACAAAACATTGTCATGAGTTTCTTTTTCCTATGAGGGGTTTTTTGTGTATTGGCTGTATGTAGCTCATCTCTCAGCTGGAAGAGATGGAGGAAATGGGAGAGAAAAAAAGGGAATGGGAAATAGTGAGGAAGGTATTGAGAGAGAGAGAAGCCAATGTGTTGTGAGTACAGTGTATACTTATGAATTGCATTCCTCTCTTTCCCTCCCTTCAAAAAATGATGAAGAGATATTGAATATTTTTGTTCTGGTCCATGTCTTGGGTTATAACACTGGTGGTCCCTGTCTAGGTCATTAAGCCAGGGGTGACTTGTTATCAGTAAATTTGTATTAGAAGAATAATTAAAAGTCAGTGATCAGTTATTGCATCTGTAGGTCATAACTTACATTGCAGACTTCATGGGTATGGCTATAGTTGGAGAGAAGTTGAGGGGCTCTGGAGCTTTTTATATTCGTCGCTCATTTATGGATAATACCCTCTACTGGGCCGTGTTTCAGGTGAGAGTTCCTGGATACAGTTTATGTGACCTCTTGACTCATTTTATAATGAATGTTGCACTATACAATTTCATACAAGTTGTTTGTTTTTGCAAATTCTTTGTAAAACTAATTTAAAAATAACTATCAGAGAAGGCATTTATAAAAGATTTAGGTTAAGTAGTACTACTGCACGTATTGTGAATCAAATGTCATTTCTGTAGAAATTCTACATATTGAGAAATCCAGGGTTGCAAATTGTGCATATAATGTTAATGTAAAAGTTCTTGGCTGAGTGGTAACATCTTGAGTTTACAACCAAGTAATCTAGATTAGATCTTGGGGTGGGCTGACACATTGGACCTGTTTCCTTATACCTGATGTCCCAGCTCACCTAGCAGTAAATAGGTACTTGTATTAGGCAAATGTTGCGAGTGGCATTCCGGAGAAGCTGTAGCTTTCCCTAGATTCAGCTGGACTCTGAAATGAACTAAGGTAAGATAACTTTTATCAATGTAAAATAAAAAAAACAGTGCATAAAGTGCATCAAAATAACTCCATTTGCTTTGTTTTATTTCACAGGAATATGTTCAGACTCTTGTGGAGTGCACTGGTTCTCCAATGGAATTTTTCTTAGAAGGAACAAGAAGTCGAAGTGGCAAATCATTGCCTCCTAAGATTGGTAACTCGTGCAGTGTTGTTAAATTTTTTATGTTAGTTGGAGCTTTTAGATTATAAACAATGTGTGTTATTTTGTGTGCCTCAGAAGAAATTTTTAAAATGGCATTCTACACCATGAAATTAAAATTCAATAAAATTACATTTTTTTTTTTTTTTTTCAACAAGTCGGCCGTCTCCCACCGAGGCAGAGTGACCCAAAAAAGAAAGAAAATCCCCAAAAAGAAAATACATTCATCATCATTCAACACTTTCACCACACTCACACATTATCACTGCTTTTGCAGAGGTGCTCAGAATACAACAGTTTAGAAGCATATACGTATAAAGATACACAACATATCCCTCCCAACTGCCAATATTACAGATGTTTAGATTAATTATTTTGTGATTACAAGGATTCTGTGATTACAGTGATTATGCTTGAATGATGATGAAATTGTTGAATGATGGTGAAAGTGTTTCTTTCTTTTTTGGGTCACCCTACCTCAGTGGGAGATGGCCTACATGTTAAAAAAAAAAAATATGCTCACACATGTACACGCAAGCATGCACACACACATGCATGAATGCATACCTTCCTGCACTTCCACTGAACTGCAGATAAATATAGTACCACAAAATTAAATGATATTAGAGTTACCTTGTATTTTATTGTTAAGTTTTATTGTTTATTATATCTTCATCTTGGAAGCTGATAGAATAACAATATATGTATATTTTGGCAGGGCTTCTTGGTTGTGTAGCGGAGTGTTGGCTGCGGGGCAGAGTACCAGATTTAGCAGTGGTGCCCATAAGTATATCCTATGAACGAACTTTAGAAGAAAAACTTTATGCATATGAACTTCTTGGAGTACCAAAGCCTCGTGAATCAACTTCAGTGAGTAGATAATTTTTTATTATTTTTTTTTTCAACATGTTGGCCATCTCCCACCAAGGCAGGATGACCCCCAAAAAGGAGGAAACCCATTCACCGCCATTCATGCAATCTCTGTTTTATCAGAAGTGTGCTGTCCTCACATTTCAGATGGGCCTCTGACTTGCAACATTCCCACTCCTCCTTCAGAGTATAGGCACTGTAATTCTCACTTCCAGGCTCACCTGTCTGGTTAGCTGGTTTTCCTGAATCCTTTCATTGATGTTACCTTGCTTACATTCCAACAACACATCAATCATGACAACCATTTGCCATCACTCAGTTAACACACTCACACAGGCCTGTTCAAACTCTAGCACTCCCTTTACCTTCTCCCTCCAACCTTTCCTGGAATGACCCCTGCCTCTCCTTTTCTCTACCCTAAATTTATATACCCTTCTCTGTCTTGCTTGGGAACCAGCAAGGAAAGAAGAGGAGAGAGGAGCATGAGAGAGATGGAAGAAGGAAGGATAGGAGGGATGTGTAGAAGGAGAATGGTTGGAGAAGGAAGCGATGGTTGGAGAAGGAAGGGATGGTTGGAGAAGGGAGGAGCAGAGAAAGAGGAGACATAGGAGAGTTAGAGAGAGAGAGAGGGAGGAGGGGGGTAAAGGCAGTCAGGGGCTGAACAGCATACATAAATCTACAGTACAAAGTTTAATTTAGCATAGCATTATTAATGCACTACAGCATCTCAGTCTGGCCCTCACAACTGACTGACTCAACCTGTGTTTTACTCTCCAGGTAGCCAATATGCCTAGAGTTGCCTTTCTCTTAATACTGGGTTGACCTCATTTTTCATTTATTTGAGTTTGATATATTCTCAGGGGGACTTTGTTTTATGCCACTTGTCAGTTACAGTACATACCAAGCCTCAGCATAGTGTAACTTTATGTCAGGCCAAAATCCTTATAAAACTCATACATAAATTAATTACCTTTATCATTTTAAAAGAATTTTATTTTGTTTGTGTAATGGTTTTTATTTTGTCCTGTATTGTTGACTTTACATCAGGAAGGAAGTCTGTTTTAAGTTAAAATATACATGTTAAAAATTACAGGGTCTTCTGAAGGCAACAAGGATCTTAAAAGAAAAATATGGCAATATATATGTTAATGTGGGTGAGCCTGTATCAGTACGAGGTTTTCTTGGTCCTCGTGTTGACAGACATCTGAGTGCATCTATACCTTCCCATTTAGCACCTTTAACTAAGAATGAGGTGAGCATAACATTATTATCTAATTTGAGTATATTAAAAGATTAGGTCATCTAGTACATAATCTTAATTTCAAAGTATATAACATACTTGTTATGTTCCTAAAAATCAGTGTCTTATGAAATATAGCATTATATAGAGTGATATTCTTTAAAATATTTCTCACCCCCTCTATAGAAGAGACAGATACAATTGATTATCTATTAGGCCTTTTACTTGATTTTCATACACTGAACATAACATTAACATTTAAACTTAACTGCACATGGAGTTGTACAATTTATCAGTCATTTCACTGTTTTTGCCATCACAAACAGCTTGATGGAATTGACAAGATCCCTTACTATAAACACAAGTAACAACTTACACTATCCTAAAAATTAGAGAGAGACTTTTTTTTTTTAATCATCTGTTATGTTCCATATACCAGGCCCTTTTAATCACTGATTTTCTTAGTAACATTTTCTTTTCTCTAGCTTGCTTTATTCTAAGAATACAGTATATAATACATAGATAAAAAAGTGTTAATTGACTGTTTATGTTATCAGTAAGGCTTCCAGTCAACAGTAGGCCATTAGTAGTTAAGCTTTAAGGAATCAAAAGTTATACGCAGATATTCGCAGAATTTTACTTTCATGTTGGCAAAACATAGTGTCTGTGTTTTTGGCTTCCCTTATAGATGAGCACCTCAGGCAGCTGCCTGCTGGCCCACCCATTAATTTGGTCTTGGGTGTGGGGATGGATTAAAAGTCTGGTCTTTACCTTCCCTTGCAGCTGTGTGCATGTGAAGCTCTCGGCTGTCACATGTTAAGAAAGATCCAGCTAGGTGGTGTGGTGAGTGTGTGGAGTGTGGTGTGTGTACACCTTATATGCACTCTCTGGGCACAATGCTGGTCACTTCCATTTAAGGTGCTTTTACAAGAAGTCTCCTGGCTTATAACTATATTAGAGAAGATTGGTGGAAATATTGCTCGCCAAGGTATGCATTAAGGGTTATATACTACTAATGAAGGGTACAGCTTAATTTAGTGTTCAATAATTTATATTCATTATATAAATTGACCCATAGTTTTAGTAGATGCTTCAAAAGTCAATGTATAAACCTGCATTTGATGTAATTTATGAAAGAACCTTGAGTATAATTTTTGGTTGAAGTAATAAATATATCTTGAGATCTATATCTAAAATTCTCATACTAAATTAGTAGGTTAATACCTAAGGTATTCTGCAGGGAGTGTGGAGGAAGATATTATATGCAGCCTTGAGGTTCACTCTCATGTAGCGAGACTTGGTGAAGATGGAGTAGTCTATATACAACAAGTTCATCAGCCTGACCAACAAACCGTACTAAGCCAAGATAAAAGTATGAGCATTTGTGTACTTTACAATATTTACAACATATTATTTGTTTTATCTTTTTTCTAACATAATGATGTCTGTCCACTATATTATTCAGTCATTATAGTTGTTTTTTAAAGCTCTAAAACAGAGAGGACTGTGAACAGCTTGGGAGTAAGGTATCTATAATACTAATATAGCACAGTATGTTTGGAGGGATATGTTGTGTATCTTTATATGTGTATGCTTCTAAACTGTTGTATTCTGAGCACCTCTGCAAAAACAGTGATAATGTGTGAGTGTGGTGAAAGTGTTGAATGATGATGAAAGTATTTTCTTTTTGGGGATTTTCTTTCTTTTTTGGGTCACCCTGCCTCGGTGGGAGACGGCCGACTTGTTGGAAAAAAAAAAAAAATGTCCTCCGCTTACTACATTAATACATTCCAGATAATCATTTATTAGTTGGTGTTAAGAATTTGGAATCTGTTTTTTCATGGACATTTATAACTGGAGAAGTGCTCCTTAGCTATAATATTCAGTATCTAAATTCATTTACTCCTTAAAAGTGCAATTAAAAACGTATATTACTTCCAGCAAGCGTGCGTGAGCGTGTTAGATAGGAGTGAATGGAGACGAATGGTACTTGGGACCTGACGATCTGTTGGAGTGTGAGCAGGGTAATATTTAGTGAAGGGATTCAGGGAAATATAGGTAGTAGGTTGGTAGACAGCAACCGCCCAGGGAGGTACTACCGTCCTGCCAAGTGAGTGTAAAACGAAAGCCTGTAATTGTTTTACATGATGGTAGGATTGCTGGTGTCCTTTTTTCTGTCTCATGAACATGCAAGATTTCAGGTACGTCTTGCTACTTCTACTTACACTTAGGTCACACTACACATACATGTACAAGCACATATATACACACCCCTCTGGGTTTTCTTCTATTTTCTTTCTAGTTCTTATTCTTGTTTATTTCCTCTTATCTCCATGGGGAAGTGGAACAGAATTCTTCCTCCGTAAGCCATGCGTGTTGTAAGAGGCAACTAAAATGCCGGGAGCAAGGGGCTAGTAACCTCTTCTCCTGTATATATTACTAAATGTAAAAGGAGAAACTTTCGTTTTTCCTTTTGGGCCACCCCGCCTCGGTGGGATACGGCCGGTGTGTTGAAAGAAAGAAAGAAAGATTCAGGGAAACCGGTTATTTTCATATAGTCAGACTTGAGTCCTGGAAATGGGAAGTACAATGCCTGCACTTTAAAGGAGGGGTTTGGGATATTGGCAGTTTGGAGGGATATGTTGTGTATCTTTATATGTGTATGCTTCTAAACTGTTGTATTTCTGAGTACCTCTGCAAAAACAGTGATAATGTGTGAGTGTGGTGAAAGTGTTGAATGATGATGAAAGTATTTTCTTTTTTGGGTCACCCTGCCTCGGTGGGAGACGGCTGACTTGTTGAAAAAAAAAAAAATTACTTATATGAGTCTCTCTCTCTCTCCTTCCTCTTTCTTTCCCTTCCTCCCATTCCCTCACTTCCACTGCTATTTATTCCCACTATTTCCTATTATATCTGACACAGCACATTTTTACTATCCATTCTCTCGCTGATAACAGTGACTAGGCAGTTGGCATATGGTGGGAGGAAGGAATGGTGAGGGTATTGCATGGGTGTGGTTTATTTCCAATGAGGTCCACAGATCATCTTCCCTAAGATGTTTACTGCTAGGTGAACAAGAGTAGCAGGTGTAAGCAAACTTGTCCATACATTTCACTTCACCCAGGATTTGAGCCGGGGCCTTTTTTGGTGTGAGCCAGACACATTTTCAATGAGTGTTAATTACTAAATAGTATAACAGACCAATGTATAATGTAAACTACAAATGTATAAGAACATATAAAGGAAAATGCAAAATTTAGTTAACTAGCAAGGTAAGTGGATAAAAAAAATATATTGACTAATTAAATATGTAAGTACAGTACATTGCTGTTAAGAGCATTTAAACAAATCAGTTATGTGTATCAGATGACAAGCAAGGGATGCACTTTATGCACTTCCAAGTTATTCATTTGTGAAAGAAGAGAAGATTTAAAGGGAAATTAATGTATAATTACTATTGAATGTTAAAGTGTTAAAGTTATTGCCTGTTATTATTATTACAGTAGTCCCCCGTATCTGCAGGGTATATGTTCCAAGACCTACCATGGATACCTGAACCTGCGGATATTAACGAACCCTATATATGTATGTCATTTTTTGTTTACATACATATTTATGATAAAGTTCAACTGATAAATTATGCACAATAAGTGGAGAATTATCACTTTTTCACTGATGGGAAGCACTTCACAACTTTTCTTAGCTCTGAACAACTGCCACCATCACTAGGTTTGTGCTTTGTGGCTAAATTAAGGCTTATTTTTGGGCCACCATAAACTGCAGATAACTGAAACCTCAGAAACCAAATCCACAGATACAGAGGTTCTCCTGTACAGCCTCTCCTCACTTAGTGATGTACTCATTTACTGATGCCTCGGACTTATGACAGGCTCTCTGACCAGTATTCATACCTACATAATGTATATTAGAGATGATTTCCTCTATTCTGTTTATTGCAATATACAGTACACTACTCTATAAACATTTTAAAAATGTACCAGAAATGTTCTAAATGGTGCAGAGGTGACATTAAAACAATATCAAAGATAATTGACACAAACCCACTACCATTATAGTATGCTCCTCACTTAGCGATGAATTTGTTTACCTATGTGGTCTTAGGAATGGAACTCCGTTGTTAAGTGAGGAGAGGCTGTATTTGACATTGCAGGCTAATGTGTTTGAGTAAGACTATGTATGTACTTACCATACCTGCTTTTGATTGAAACGAGAAATGGACACATTTTCTAAACTTCAAATGCTTTCTTTTCAGAAATAAATTTGAGCAGTAAAACAGTGGAGCTTGCTGTAACTCACCTGATGTTACAGCATTACATCAACCACCTACTTCATCTCTTGATCAGACCGGCCCTGGTAGCACATGCTCTGGTATCACTTGGTGCCCAGACTAAAGCCTCTTCCCTTGGTTAGTTTCTCTTTTTCATCATTGGAACTTAAGACATCTAATAGTAAGTTTTTTTATTTGGGAAAAAGAGGTAATGATTACCAATTTTAAACATCAATTACATTACTGACCTTTATAAAGAAAATTTTCAGAAAATTTTACAAGTGAATAGCATTTGATGTAGCTGCATACTTTGGAAACAATTCAGCACACCTAAATGCTGGATGTCTGGCTTTGAAACTTAAATGCTCTTTGTGCAATTCTAACTCAGGTCTTTACATGGATGTTGATGAGGATGTTGCAGCTCAAGAGACAATTCAGTTTTCACAGTCCCTGTAATAATTTGTTTTAAGAGACATCAAGGAATACCATTTTATGACATAATACATTTTGTGGAAAGACTAAATAATGGAATACAGTGCCTGCATTTTACAAATATAAATTGGAATAAACCTTGGAAATTAACACTGAATCTGATGCTGTATTAAGAGACTCAAAAATTCATTACTATTAATGCAAAATTTAATAGATTTTCAATGATCATAAGCATAAATTGGAATACATTTTGGAAATTAACACATAATCAGGTATTGCACTTAGCAACTTAAACTTCCTCAGCTTTAATGCAAAGGGCAGCAGTTTTTTAATGACTAGGACAGGGATAATGTTAAGCTGTTTTTATAGACTGTATTAATCAGTTATTTACACATGCAACCATTACGCATTTTTTGTTAACTTACAGAGTTGCTGCAATCAAGATTTGTTTTCCTTCGCTCATTCTTTGGATACGACTTCATCTTTGAGAAGAATATGGAAGGAAGAGTATGTACAGTATATATTGTATATTACATATTCCACAGATTTTATTCTTAACATAAGTATTTTGTAACATTATGTTTGGTCACATTGAAGTAAGGCTATTAAAAATAGCATCATAAAAACAACCAATGTAAAGCTGTAATAGGAATTTGGAAGGAAAAGAGCACCACTATATTATAGGCTGCTCAGATGGACTTCTCTCAGTGTTTATTGTGATTGTACCTTGGGTCTATGGGTTGAGGGTATCACTTTTGCATATTCATGTTAAAACTTCCTTATCTGATAAAACATGGTTATATACAATATATGCATGAGCATCATTGATAATGAAATACTGTATTTCTTATTACACAAGATGCATTACATCTGTTATTAATTTGAGGAAAGATGCATACTGTGTACACTGTAAAATCCATAATTATTCACAGTATTTTAGGCAAAACTATTTGTAATTATTAAGCATGTGGGAAGAAACTGATTGGCCTGATTGGTGTGCAGTTTGAGTTCCTTCTTAGCTTCACGTAAAACTAAGATACAGTAGCCTCTTTAAGTCAACCCTCATTGCCAGTAAAAAAAATGGATGACAACCACAGAAGCTATAAACAACTACAATACATTGTTTCCTGGACTGGAATCTTAAAAATAAGTTCTGAGAGCCTATCTTAGGCAATTAAAGCTTCTCTCTTTTTGTTTTTGGTTGTCTTGTGGAGATCTTGTCAATGCTTTATTACATCATACATCTGCTGATGGCCTTGGTCGGCTACTGGTTTGTTGGAATCTCCTCTGGCTTCTTTGTTCCGTTTTCATAGAGTTTCTTATCCTTGGCATCCTGATTCAGTCTCAGGTTCTTCTTTGGGCTTCTTATTGGCATTGCAGGGGCACCCCTGACTTCTTGTTGCACCTTTTCAGTTGCTCTGTGGATGTCTCTCACTTCTGCATTTTTGCTTTCTTCAGCCTGAGTAGCCTCATCCCAACTCCTTTGTTGTTGCCTCAGTTTGCCAGGGGCTTCTTGTGTAAGGTCTCCATGCTTTGGGCCTCAGTTTTTCCTCACTGGTGGAGGGCTGGGGGTGGTGGTGTCTTTGGAACTATCACTTATGGGGGTGCTTGCCTTTTGTCTGTTGGGCATACTATCTCTTGTTCATTTTTTTGTTTTAAATTTTTAAGTTTAATCTCAGTAAAAATATTGTGCAGTATGGGCTTTACAGAAACACTGCACCATACAGTTTGCAATTTTTCCAAAATTGCATTCATCCTATACAAATTTGTGCAGAGAAACACTATCAGTATTTATTATCATTATCTTGGACTATTGTATTTTTTTAAGACACCAGCCATCTATCACCAGAGGTAGGTTGACCCCACAAGGAAACACATCACTCATTCATTACCTCTCATGCCAGAAGTGTGAAGACATCATAATTCAGGCTAACCATTTCCCTGAATCCATTCACTCATATTATCTTAATTACTAAATTTGAAATTTGATTATAAATAGGAAATACATAATCCTCATAGTCACAATTATTTCAGGATTTTATGGAAGGGTTGTCTGTGCTAACATGGAGTGGAGAAGTGAGTGTCATCCAAGGGTGTGCTCAGATGATGCATCAGGCCAACAGCTTGATAACGCTCTTGCTGGCATTGCTCAAACCTTTCACCCTGACTTATTCATGTGCTGCTCAGACCATGGTTTGTATTCACAGTTAACCCACATATTGGAGATAAATCTTAAATTTTTTGATTACCTCTAAATACAGTACCATGCAATTCCAGCCATGGTATTGTGATTTATATACTTCATAGTTTATATGAATTAATTGTTAATGTTTACTTTGTCAAGGTTTGTCAATTTTAATTTGATTACTCAATCCCTGTGGGTATATATACACCTCAGTATGTAGGAAAAGAAGGAAACAGACATATTCATAAAGCTCTTATATACAAATGTAGATAAAGTCGTCTTAAAAAGATTAGAATTAAAGGACTTTATAAATACTGGAGGGCTCTGTTATGTTCCAGACTACTGCTGCAAAATGAAACATGGCCTTTTTCATTTTCATATGCATATATGAACCTGATAACATGTAAAGTAAAAGGACACAAGTGCAATTAATGTGACATTTTATTGTGGCAACGTTTCGCCTCTCAGGAGCTTTATCAAGCCATTACAAACAATACATGGACACAGAGGGTATATAAAGGCTCAGAGTGAGGTGCAATACTAGTGAGGTACCATTTCGATGTTCACTAGTGGTAGTAGTAGTAGTAGTAGTGACAAAAATAATACAATGTGGTAGAGCAATTAATTCGTACATGAGTAAAAAGATATAAAAGCTATTACATGGGTAACATAAAAATAGGTTGGACAAATATAGACTGGAAAGAGGCAGGTTGTTTCAGTGTTCACTCTCTGTAATGTGCTTTGTGTAGTATAACAGGAGAGACTATGTGATGGCAGGGTTTACTGTTTTCAGGAGGATTCTTGATAAGACTTCGGAGATGGTGAAGCTGCCGTTATTTCATTTAATTAATGCAAATGCATCCTTGTGCCATACAAAAATAATAATAGTTTAACCCTTCTTAATTTGCAGGCATCCCAGGAGTGGCTAGATAATGGAGCATTAGTTGTTGCTGTTCAGCAATCCATTGAAAGATCACTTTGCAAGACTACACTGTACTCAGCACTCTCCTTGGATACAGTCCGTCATGCAGTAAGAGCAGTCATTAGGATAGGAGCTGTTACTAAAAGAAAAGGGTAAGATATTTTTAAGACAGTTTTAATAGTAGATATGATAGGATACATGTGGTCAAGAATAGCGTGTCACTGTTCTTGGGTAGTTGAGAGGTGGGGCCAGGAGCCAAGATTTGACCCTTGCAACTACAACTAGGTGGATACACTCACACTTTCAATGCAGGGTAGCTAGATAAGACATGAAAAATAAAGAGACAGCTAAAATGTGATGTCACTAATGTATTCAGCATACCGGGGCACACAGCTGTCAATAACTGGAGACCAAACAAGAAAGGAGGTGGATTAGCTGTTTACTATGCTATTGACTTCTTTTGTATGAATGTCATAAACGCATACAGTAAACATATATTTGCTGAATTTAAATTCAGTAATACTGATTCAATAACATTTGGTGAAATTTGCAGAATATTTCACACAAATACACAATACTTCAGTGATATCTTAGAAATATGATATAACAGGCAACAAACCTATTAAAATCATCCTATAATTGCTGATGATTTTAGCATAAACCTCTGCCAGATAAATTCAGGTAACCCCCAAATGTCAAGTTTCATAGACTATGTATTAGTGCTTGCAGTACCATCAGTCACTTAACTTGCTAGAATTACTGTAACATCTGCATCTGTCCTTGCTCACATCTGGACCATTGAAGCAGCATTCCAAGGTGCAAGTATAATCACAGATAAAACAATGGACTACTGCCCAACTTTTCTAGCAACAAGCATTAGAAAGAGTCACTTAAAACTAAATTAGTTACTTTTAGTTTCCGTAATGATGCTTTGATTAATAAATTATATGATGCCATGAAGCATACACATTTGGAAAGGGAGTTAAATAATAATCAGAATGTGAACGTTGGAGTAGAGACATTCCTTAATATTACAGAACATCACTGTGATATACACTGCGAACAAAGATGAAACAACTGACAACAAAAAATGGTAAAATAGCCCACAGCTCACAAAAAGCTTGCTTAGATCAGTCGAAAAGAAACATAATAATGAGAACAGATACAGACTAGGCCTTATTTCTGAAGGAAACAGCAGAAAGACACTGCATCCATCTCTAGTATAGGAAGACCCCGCTTTACAGCACTTCGCTTTATGGTGTTTTGCTAATGCAGCAGTTTTTCATTATACCCATTCTTCATTTACTCAGATTTCCTACAATAAATATATTCACCTCTCACCATAAGCCAAGGATGAAAATATTTTAAGGTAAGTAATGTGTATACTGTATATGCATATTTTAGGCCTAGTTCTATTGCTCACTTAATATATGATAGTGTAAACACGTAATCAGGCTTTTACATGCATTGAAAAGTGATAAACGGCTATGTTTCACTTTACAGCAATTTTCACTTTACAGCAGTAGCCCGGAACCTAACCTGCTGTATTTACAGGGCCCACCTGTATTATCAAAAGATCTAAACAAGCCTACTATTCCACTAGATTTAATAACTCCATAGGAGATATAAAACAAACTTGGAGAACATTTCAGGTGGGCAAAGCCCACAGGAGTGTGAGGTAATCAGCTCCTCAGACTAGAGATGATGTGCTCAGTCCATCAGTCTTGATAAAGTACAGCACATGCACAAGAAAGGGCCTAATATATTGAAGAGAGGTGGGCTAATCTTTAACCTAAGTTCTCAAAATATTGTTCATAATTTTATATCAGAGCAATTTTTTTATTTAATTTTTTATATAAATTAATGCCTTACTTTTCCTTCAAAACCTGATGGATTTCTCATACCATAATATTATCAGAAAACTGAATGCATATATTTTTTCTTTTTCAGAATTAACGACCAGACAGTATTGACACCAGACCAGCAGAAAATTGCTTCCATTACCCAAGTGTTGCAACAAACCTCTACAACAGCATTACAACCAAAACTTTAAGTATTATGGAGCTCTGTATGACCTATATGGGTTTAGCACTCTCTTTGATCATATATTTATTATTTAGACATTACATTATCTTAATAGTTTGCTATTAAAGTACAGTACAGTAACTGCAAATGCTACTTGATGCAGTTTGCTAAAATTTGCAAAATCTATTTCATATGTTTCTGTAACAAATAATGGGAGCTCCAGAACTGTTAATTATTTCTCCTTAACTTGAGTTGTAAAATAAATTTAATTACTGTACAGTCAAGCACTGAAAACTCAGAGAATCAAAGAGCTTTATGTTGGTACATGGATATAAATGTGGCCGTTTTTTATTTGTAATCTAATGTTTAGTCTTTGAAATTATTCCTTGAAATTTTCCCTTAGATTTTTACAGTGGGTCAGCCAAAATGGATCGTAATGTTCAGAATACTTCTTACTCCAACTGATTTTCTGTTTCAGTCCTTGCCTGTATTTCAGTTACATGTCTAAAATAATACAAAACAGACTGAAATTTTAACCATTTTTCCATGTCATTCAGTTCATGGAGTACAATTGGTTAGCAGCTCTCTATTTTTGTTTGTGGTAGTGATTCCAGACACAGGAAGAGTTTGACTCTTCAATCTGTTTTGGTCCTGAGAGCAAAAATAACTTGTTCTAGTCTGTGTGCTGAGAGAGAACACCTTGTTCTGCTCCTTAAACTGTGAGAGAACAATTTATTCTGGCCCTTACACTGAGAGAACAGCTTATTCTGGCCATACACTGTATGAGGACAGCTTGTTTTGTTCCTAACAATGTGAGAGAACAACTTTTGTTCCTTACACTGTAAGAGAACAACTTTTGATCCTCGCACAGTGAGATTACAACTTTTGTTCCTTATACAGTGGGAGTACAACTTTTGTTCCTTACACTGTAAGAGAACAACTTTTGATCCTTACAGTGAGAGTACAACTTTTGTTCCTTTTACAGTGAGAGTACAACTTTTGTTCCTTACACTGTGAGAGTACATCTCATTTTGTTCCTTACAGAGAGAGACCAACTTGCCCTTGCTGGGGGTCTAGTCTATAATGTTAAGAAGTTTGGTAATTTTTATGCATGATAGTGGTATTATCCTAGTAAAAAAAAAAATGGAATAATATATGTGTGAAGGTACTCTTCACATTAATATATAGTTCTATATGACCTGTTCTCCATGGGGAAGCGGAACAGAATTCTTTCTCCGTAAGCCATGCATGTCGTAAGAGGCGACTAAAATGCCAGGAGCAAGGGGCTGTATGCATTACTAAATTTAAAAAAAGAAACTTTAGTTTTTCTTTTTAGATCGCCCTGTATCGGTGGGATATGGGCAGTTTGTTAAAAAAAAAGAAAAAATTACCAGTACAGGTTTGGCACAGTTTGTAAACATAATAATATGGATTAATATTTCATTGAAACAATACTTGTCAGCTTCTTGTATTGTATATACATTAACGTATGATCTCAGTGATATACGACTGGTGTGTTGAAAAGAAAAAGAAATTATATATATAACGTTTATTCATATACATATATCATAGACATATACACATTAATATATGATCTTACTCATGCATAAATATACACAATAATGAGTGATCTTACACCATATATCAAGGGACCAACGTTTAGTTCAAAGCAGTAATATGGTGGATTCGTAGTGCCAATTTGTTAAACTAATTAAACCAAAGAGTATCCTAGTGATTTTTGTGTAAGAATTAGTTTGTCCCAGTGAAGTCTTTCCCTGCATTAGGTGTATACTGAGGTAGAGTGGCAAGGTGCCACAATAAAATACATGACTACAGTGATGAATAATACCCAAGTCAAACTTTTTTAATGTTTTTCTCTGTTTTTTTTTAACTATACATGTATTACTGTATTTATAAACACTTTATTTGAAAGTAGGAATAACATCTTGTAGGAGTGAGGAAGAGCCAGTTGTGAGTGTGGGGGAAGTTCGTGAGGCAGTAGGTAAAATGAAAGGGGGTAAGGCAGCCGGGATTGATGGGATAAAGATAGAAATGTTAAAAGCAGGTGGGATATAGTTTTGGAGTGGTTGGTGCAATTATTTAATAAATGTATGGAAGAGGGTAAGGTACCTAGGGATTGGCAGAGAGCATGCATAGTTCCTTTGTATAAAGGCAAAGGGGATAAAAGAGAGTGCAAAAATTATAGGGGGATAAGTCTGTTGAGTGTACCTGGTAAAGTGTATGGTAGAGTTATAATTGAAAGAATTAAGAGTAAGACGGAGAATAGGATAGCAGATGAACAAGGAGGCTTTAGGAAAGGTAGGGGGTGTGTGGACCAGGTGTTTACAGTGAAACATATAAGTGAACAGTATTTAGATAAGGCTAAAGAGGTCTTTGTGGCATTTATGGATTGGAAAAGGCGTATGACAGGGTGGATAGGGGGGCAATGTGGCAGATGTTGCAAGTGTATGGTGTAGGAGGTAGGTTACTGAAAGCAGTGAAGAGTTTTTACGAGGATAGTGAGGCTCAAGTTAGAGTATGTAGGAAAGAGGGAAATTTTTTCCCAGTAAAAGTAGGCCTTAGACAAGGATGTGTGATGTCACCGTGGTTGTTTAATATATTTATAGATGGGTTGTAAGAGAAGTAAATGCGAGGGTCTTGGCAAGAGGCGTGGAGTTAAAAGATAAAGAATCACACACAAAGTGGGAGTTGTCACAGCTGCTCTTTGCTGATGACACTGTGCTCTTGGGAGATTCTGAAGAGAAGTTGCAGAGATTGGTGGATGAATTTGGTAGGGTGTGCAAAAGAAGAAAATTAAAGGTGAATACAGGAAAGAGTAAGGTTATGAGGATAACAAAAAGATTAGGTGATGAAAGATTGAATATCAGATTGGAGGGAGAGAGTATGGAGGAGGTGAACGTATTCAGATATTTGGGAGTGGACGTGTCAGCGGATGGGTCTATGAAAGATGAGGTGAATCATAGAATTGATGAGGGAAAAAGAGTGAGTGGTGCACTTAGGAGTCTGTGGAGACAAAGAACTTTGTCCTTGGAGGCAAAGAGGGGAATGTATGAGAGTATAGTTTTACCAACGCTCTTATATGGGTGTGAAGCGTGGGTGATGAATGTTGCAGCGAGGAGAAGGCTGGAGGCAGTGGATGTCATGTCTGAGGGCAATGTGTGGTGTGAATATAATGCAGAGAATTCGTAGTTTGGAAGTTAGGAGGAGGTGCGGGATTACCAAAACTGTTGTCCAGAGGGCTGAGGAAGGGTTGTTGAGGTGGTTCGGACATGTAGAGAGAATGGAGCGAAACAGAATGACTTCAAGAGTGTAATCAGTCTGTAGTGGAAGGAAGGCGGGGTAGGGGTCGGCCTAGGAAGGGTTGGAGGGAGGGGGTAAAGGAGGTTTTGTGTGCGAGGGCTTGGACTTCCAGCAGGCATGCGTGAGCGTGTTTGATAGGAGTGAATGGAGACAAATGGTTTTTAATACTTGACGTGCTGTTGGAGTGTGAGCAAAGTAACATTTATGAAGGGATTCAGGGAAACCGGCAGGCCGGACTTGAGTCCTGGAGATGGGAAGTACAGTGCCTGCACTCTGAAGGATGGGTGTTAATGTTGCAGTTTAAAAACTGTAGTGTAAAGCACCCTTCTGGCAAGACAGTGATGGAGTGAATGATGGTGAAAGTTTTTCTTTTTCGGGCCACCCTGCCTTGGTGGGAATCGGCCGGTGTGATAATAAAAAAAAAAAAAAAAAAAATATTTATAAGTAATATATTCATAAGTATTATACATATAAAGACTGTATAAATACTGTTTTTATAAGTACAGTGGTACCCCGAGTTTTGTACATAATTTGTTCGAGTGCTGTTACCGAACGAATTTGTTCCCATAAGGAATAATGTAAATTAGGTTAGTCTGTTTCAGACTCCCAAAAATACACTTACAAAAGCACTTACAATAGTACGCTTACATAATTGTTCAAGTTGGGAGCAGTATAAAACTCGGGGTACCACTGTACTGTATTTATGAATGCTGTTTAAGTACTGTTTATACTGTATTTATAAATACAGGTACAACATCGATTTTCCGGACACGGATGGTCCAGAAACTCTTATAATCTATACACATTTATGAGCAGGAACTTGAAATTCCCTCGGCAGTGTATTTACCACCCAACTATACGTTACTTATCCAACCCCAAGACCAAGAAATACTGTGCTCTCTAAAGGAATAAAACTCAGTAATCTGGAAAGGCTTTGGAACCAAAGGGTCTGTAAAATCGATGTTGTATCTGTACTGTATTTATAAATATTGTATTTATAAGTACTGTGTAAGTACTGTGTGTATAAGCTCTCAATTTAAAAGTAATGTGTAGGTACTGTATAAGTGCTGTTTTTATAAACATTGTGTTGATGAATACAGTATTTATAAGTACAATATTGATAGTAATTATAAAGTACACAAAAAATAGATGGCCACAGGCTTGCAGGTTAGAGTTAGTAAATTACTTTTTCATAACTATAGTTTATGGAAATAATATAATCACATTGTGTGTGTGAAAGTCAAATGATTATCTTACAATGGATCTTCACCTAGACTAGTCAAGAAATTTAAGGTCTCTACTATAATGGTTGTTGAAAACAAAATTTAAATTCCATTTTTTTATATTCAGAAACATTTGCTGTGTCTGCCTTGTTGTTATACCTATTTTTGATAATGTGTTGTTCACTAGTGCAAATATTTACAATGAATATTGAGCTACGTATTTCTGTTTCATTAGTAATAATATATCCGCTCTCAGGCATAATGATTATTTTTATTTTTGCATTTTTTGTTATTATCAATGAACAAATATACCATATGTATTGTAATGTTAGATTACCAGCCATTTATTTTTTAATAGGCACTGTAGTGTACACTGTTATTCAAACTTGTATTTTGCAAAGCCCATGATTTTTCACATATATTTTGGTAATAAAGGTATGTTCTCGGTAAAAAAATTCTGATCATATCTGCCATATTCATGAAGACCCAGATATAGTATGGAGAGGAGATGTACTAGAGCTTTATCAGGTGGCAGACAAGCTATGTTGTTGCTCTCTGCCAATATTGTAAAGCAGTTTGTGCACCTGATTTATAAAGCTTATTTAAAAAGAAATAATGAAATATAGTATCAACTCTCATGCAGATTTTAATTTCCCATATTGTGCATTTGTTTTGTCTTGAAAACAGTACATGAAACAAGGGGTTGGCTGCATATAAGACCAGATCTCTAAAAGAAACTTCTCCAAAAGTTAATTGACTTGCCCCTTCAACAGCTGTGCCTTGATGCTACTGAAGGGCTCATGATCCAAGGAAATGTAGCCACTCTCCACTTCCTTGGATCAAACCTGACTACCTCCCATTCTCCCAGGTGCTGTATCACCCCTGTAAGTTTAGTGCATTCCCATGAATAAAATAATAATACCAGGTAATATGATTTGTTGCTTTTAACCTTGTGCAAATTTTGTAATGCTTGTAGAGTATGAGGGCTCTTGATCCAAAAAAAATGGACCTGACTACCACACTTTAAATTGAACCTGATTACCTCTTATTTCCTGAGGGGTCTACATAGCCCCTTTGGGTTTAGTGTTCTCTGCCTCCCTCATGAGTATAAAGATAATATATATAATCTTTGCCCCTCTTCCCCTCACACTGTCTGTTCATCATACTATTTTAATAAACTGTTCTATCTGCCACATAATATGCAGGATTCACTTTCGACATCTACATTCCCATACCAAACTGAAATTTCCTTATTTAACACTCATTCTAACTCTTCTCAATGAAAACTAGTCTATTACACCACCGTAGACTTCAATTTTACACTCCCTACCCCCACCCCCATTAACCCCTGCCCCTGGCCCACCCCTTAACCACACCACTGTATGACTTCCATAGGTTTTGTTCATATAAAGAATATAACAGTAATCCTCTTTCTTCTTATTTTGCCCCCCAACTCCAGGGAGGGTCCTTGATTCTGGTGAGGGGCTTTTGATCTAAGAAATTGGAAATGTGCTCCAATTATTTGAAGAGTCTGAATGCTTTCCATTCCCCAAGGTGCTGTATGACCCCTATGGGCTTAGTGTTTCCCCACGAATGTAATAATAATAATCTTCCTTCACCCTAGCTCCTTGCCCCTCTCCCCTCTTCCCAGGAAATTTGATTAATTTGTAACTTTTGTGAATTTTAAAATTAAAATGTTGTTTGTAAGATTGCCTTATTGCTGGTTAAAAACTTGTGACAATGGACTGAAGTTACCCGCTCCTGGACCAAACTCGATTACCTCCCATCCCCAAGCATTGTACGACCCTTTTAGGTTTAGCATTTCCATATGACCAGTAACAATAATAATCACTATAGTGGTTGTTGTCATCTCTCTTTCAATTACATGTATACCAAAATATG